CTGTTCCAACGGCAAGGCCTCTTCGACCTCGGCATCGACGTCAGAGCCAGCGAGCCAGTCATCGCGCAGCTCGGGGCGGCAGTACAGGTAGATAGCAGTGATGACGCGCATGTTACTTTGGCGCCATTTGCGGCCGCAGTAGGGGACTTGGGATTTGAAGAGTTTGAGGGTGTAGAAGCGGAGGTGTGGGTCTGGTATCTTGAGGCCCTTGCGGAGGATGTTGCTTGATTTGTACTGCACTAGTAGGAGGCAACGGTGGGCTTTGTTGCGCGTGATCTTTTGCATGACGTGTAGATAGTTGATGGCGGAGAAGAAGTTGCGAAAGGAGAATACTTTGACTGGTTCTTTGGGGAGGGGGGCGGTTGGGTAGCCTAGTTCGTCAACTTCGGGGCGTGCTGGTCCGTTGATGAGATCCGTTAGCGCTTCCTCTTCGGAGAGACCTGGCATACTGCCGTTTGCCGTTGGATCTGAGCGGTGGCGCGAAATTGGGCGTGGCATGGCTTCATCTTCGCTTTCAGTGTCACCGCAGGAGCCTTCTTCGGTTTCCCGGGGGAAGTCGGTGTTGCTTTGACAGAAGTGGAAGAAGCTATGTATTGTGTTAGTGGTGAGCTAGTTTAGAGAACGAAGTCGAGCAACATACGATAAGTCTTCGCGGTCATTCTTATGTGCCACCGTTTGGTCAATGTCTTGGTGAGCGAACATTTTGAGGATCAAGGGGATGTAGTTGGAGTCAAGTAACAGCTGTGTCATGTATTCAAATTTCAAAATATCTTGATTGATTAGCACACCGCAATTCGGAAAAAAGGAATTGTAATGCAGACTTACGAGATCGTTTGAACCACTTCAGGAGAAGCAACAGAGTTCCAGACACGGCTTTCCCGGTGATCTCGCGGAGTCGAACATTGTCTAGCTCATCGATAGATGCATCGGAAAGATTGTCACTAAAACCTGTGTTAGAACGGACTCCTTGTTTTTTTTCCCCCAGTGTTTGGGCTCACCTCATGCCCTGCGTAGTCTGGCTAGTAGCCTGGTTGACCACTGCGCTGACATTTGTCAGAATGATTTTTAAGAATACGATAGTGATGGACTGAAGATGAGATAAAGTGCTGGTCTGGTAAACAGTTAGCCAATGTCGAAGTTGGGTCTCGAAAGCGTGCACTCACATAAAACGAGTCAACCGCATCCAGACGCCGCTGGATATCAGGATCATCTGTTTCTTTCTCCACTACTTTGGGCTTAGGTTCGGCCTTCTCGTCACCCGACAGATCTAGATGTTCAAAATCATCCGGTAAATCATCCGAGATGTTATCAGGGAAGTGAGCAGCGTCCTCAGAGTTCCAGCCACGGTCGTACTGCATAAAATGCTCACGCTCCTGCCAAAGCTGTCGCATCGCACGAGTCATTTTCACATGGGTTGAAAATAGTTTTCCGGCTTCAATAATGGACGCAGGTACATCACTGCCTTCCCATTTCTTTCCAACCAGGGCGTCCTGGCGTTCTGTTGTGCCCTTCCCGCCAATACGGTTGCTAGAATCATCTAGGGGAGGGTACATGAAAGGGAAATTTTGGTTGGTCTGATAGTTCTGTTTCTTCCCAGATTTCCCTCCTGGACCGGCGGGGGATGGCGGGGGAGAAGGGGCCGGGGTTGCAATATGAACGGCCTGTTGAAGGATAGAGCCGTTTCCACCGGAAATCGAGGGGGAAACACCACAGAAGATACCACTGGATGAGTTGAATTTAGCTGTATTGTGTGGAAGAGGGGGTAGAATGGAATTGTTTTCCAATTCCAGTGGAACAACGAGGGGCGGAGGGTTGTAAGCTGGGTATTTGGAAGTGATTTCCTGGCGGAAGAGATGGTAGTCCAGAGGGGAGGCGTGTAGAAATGGTGTCCTGCGTTTGGAATCATCCTTTTCAGAGAAAACAGAAGGCTCTAATACCTCCTTTGCACGTTTTAAATCATCGGTTCCGCCAAAGACGAGAAGCAGCGACTTCCATAACAACAGAAGGATCCGGGTCAGCGGGATATTGGCAGATTCGTCCCAGCGTAGTCGAGCGATGATTTCAACAATGGAGACCAACAAACTAGGATTTGAGTTTGCCAGTGCATCCCGGACCGAGCTGCATTGAGGGTCGCGCGCCTGTTGCCTGCGACCCACTTCCACGGCAAAGTACAAGCTTGTAAGGACCAGGTTGGCCTCACGCTCTGGTGCCGCAATATCACCAGGGTTAATTCGCTCGTAATCAATGTCACCGGAGTCCGATCCGAACGCTGAGCGGGTCTTGTCAAAAAGGCGGCACATGTACTGTATCAAGGCGGTAACGCCCGAACATTCCTGAAGAAGGGAAACATTCTCCTCGATGCACTGAATCTGCAATGACTTAAACAGTGATGTTTCGGCTGTTGACTTAGAATTTCCATCGGAAGGATAGTCGGGCGCCACTCTCCCACCGCTGAGACCCCATACGCCAGTGACAACATAGCAAATAGTTTCTAGGGCTTCCAATCGCGCGGGGGCTTCAGCAAGCTGCAGGTCCTCAAGTATTCGAGCAACAAATGAGCGACGTAAATCCCTGGACGTGTCAAGCCACGATGCCCCGGGCATGTCTCGCTGGCGTCGCTGGTAAAAAGTGAGCCACTTCTTGTTGAAAGTCGCTTTCGTGCCCATCAACATGACACGATCAAAGGCATTATATTGGAACCACTCATCGAGCTCATCGGGAAAAGACTGGGCGTCGGCATATTCAAACGCATAGGCTGGTTGCTCAATCTTGGGCATTTCACCCACAAGCTTCCGCAACTCTGACAAGCTCAGAGAGCTCGCACCTCGATCCGTATTCTCCTGGATGGGAGCTGCAGGGGGCGGTTGCATCGGAGGAGGTGGAGCAGAGCCTTCATGACGAAGCTCCGGTCGTTTCATAAATTTTTCGGGCGCAGAGGGCGCCGTCTCATGAGTGGGCGCGGCCTGTTCGGCCTGTTCCTGGCGGAGCCCTTCAGCCACCTCCTCCATGAGTTGGTCATCTGAAACTGGCGAGATATCGGTCCCTGTTTGGTCGACCTCATCCGCCCTCACAATATGATGCTCCTGCATAATGACTTCGGGTGAATCTGAAGGCACGTCCATCACAGGGGACTTGGACTTGTTGAATTGTTGTGTTCCTGGCTGAAAGTTGTTCGGTGGATCACCAGAGTACCAACGCTCCATACATGAGGCAAAAAAGCTAAAATAAAGGAGCAAGAATTCGGATAGAGACTCAAGCAAATGGACCACTACGCATTTTGTAAGTATTCGCAGTGTACAAGGGGTTGTTGGTAGCTGCGGTGTTGATGCGGGAGGCCATCTGGCACGTGACTAGACTACAAGCGTGTGCTGATTTCGAGATTTGTGACAATGATTTGAGTGGGAAGAGATTGAGTAGAATCGATGTCAAGCAGTTTATCAACAGGTTTTCGCTCGCTACTATGGTAGATATATATTGAAATGAAACATCCCTTACTTCGACTTTTTACGAAGACTGCGACGCTTCAACCTCTGAGACTCCCAACGTTGCCAGCCAGCCTCAGCCAAGTCTTCACTTACGACCAGATCACGGATTCTGACCAAGCGAGATACAGTAGTCTCCATGGCCCATTCAATTAAGCCAGAGCTTCGGAGCAGGCTGGTGACCACGAACCAGCCACAAGCACATACGAATCCAGCGGCACAGCCAGCAAGGACTTGTCTCGAGGTGTGGTAGTTTAGGTAGACCCGGCTGGCGGCGACACAGGCAGCCCCAATGCAAAGAGCCAGCATGACCAGGACTCGTAGAAGAACGGCGACATTGGGGTAGGAGCTGGCGGAAGCTTGGCTGTGACGGAAGAGAAGGAAGAAGGTAAGGTAGACGGAGAAAAAGGTCATGAATTGGGCGTGTGAAGATGGCATTCCATATCCCTTGCCAAACATTTCTGTGTACAAGTGTCAGTCTGGGAAAGTACCCACGAGACCATCGACATCGATAACTTACCCTTCGGTCGCTCTTCCTTGATCAAACGTTTGAGGACAAAGTTCACTGCTTCACAGCCCAGCTGTCCTACAAACATCAAAATGACTTCCACCTCCCTTGTTGACCAGACCAAGGTTGCATAAGAAACACATAGTGCCTGTGGGATCAGGGCCAGCCATGCTGAGGCAAAGGACAGTTGGTCCTCGGGGTTCTGGAATCAAGTTAGTGGGAAGTACAACAACAACATCATGATGTGACTGACGTAGTGAACATGAGTCAGAGACAACGACGCCAGCGGAGTGTCTCCCATAATGGATGAAGGGAGTGAACAAGGGAAGTCAAAAGATCCAAATGTCCTCTAAACTTGGAGATTCCCTTTTTCAGGGACATCCGGGCCAAGACCAATGCCAAGACCTTTCTCTTATCGGCGATAAGGATGTTGGGCAGCGGGGACCTCTCAACTTTCAAGTCGTTTCCTCCATTTTTAGGCACCCGAGGGGATTTGCCATTTTTTTCGGGATCTTGATATTTGGCTTCTCTCTTTCGTTTTTTTTCCTTTCTTCTGTCTTCCTCGTATACTACCTCACTTTCAAACAATGACGCCGCTGTTTTCTCTCCAAACTCCAGACTCTCTATTGCATCATCTTTTGGACCCCTCCCGACTTTCAGCCGAACATTGGCCCATAGAAGGAATACTCGGAACATCTTCATATTTGGTTGGTCTAAATCTTTTACCCGGGGCTCAGTCGCAACGCTGATTCGAAGTGATCTTCCTGCAGGATAGAACCCCCCCTTTCGTGCCCGATCGTCCTTAGTGACAGTTCACTTGGGATCGGTCATCATTATTACCTTTCGAGGGGGGTTTTTTTACGACAGTCATGAGCTAGCGTTGCTAGGATTTTTATGCAGGAGACAAACTCGTCCCCAAACTGCGATCCACTGGAATCATATCGGAGGCAAATATAACCACCCCCACCTGAGAAATCTTCACAAGTGATCGCACTCGGATTCATCCCGCCATGACCGAACTCAACTTCCCGGAGGATGACCGCTCGGTCGAGCTTTCATCGATTGCTGCGATCTTTCCGGAAATACAAATCGATCCCTCATCTCCGTTCAAAGCCGTTCTCGATCTTCCAGTCGCACCTTCTGCCCCAACCTCAATATATTTTCAGCAACCGCTCGATGTCGCTGCTGCTGCTATCACGCCTCCAACATCAGTAGACGAGTCTAAGGGAGAACTTGAACAGCCGCCCATTAAAGATGTCCATCTTCTCTCGCACTTGCCTCCGCTTAATCTCGAGATTGAGTTGCCAGAGGGCTATCCAACCGAAAAACCGCCTATCGTTCATCTGAAAACAAACCCCTCATGGTTACCACTCTTGGTCATCGATCGATTAACCAACGATTGCCACCGACTCTGGGAAGAATGTGGAAAGGATCTGGTCGTCTTTACCTACATCGACCACCTCCAGCAGCTTGCAGAAGCAACTTTCAATATTCAAGATTCGTCTGGAGAAGTATGTTTGTCGCGGGACTTGAAGATCAGACTACTGGACTATAACAAAAAGGCCGAGCGGGGAAAGTTTGAACAGGGGACTTTTGAATGTGGGGTATGCCTTGAACCCAAGAAGGGCACCGTTTGCTATCGATTACTTCGCTGCTCCCACGTATTCTGCATCAAATGCTTGCAGGATTTCTACAACTCCTGTATTACTGAGGGTGATGTTGACAATGTGAAATGCATGGCGCCGGGTTGCGAGCACAATAAGCGACCTGCAGCTACACCACGCGACAGCCAGACCCCGCCCCGCAAGAAGCGTGATCGCACCCTGGGACCAAGCGAGTTACTTCAAATTCCTCTGACCACTGAAATGGTGCAACGATATGTATTTCTCAAGAGAAAGAAAAAGATTGAAGCCGACAAGACCACAGTCTACTGTCCACGGCAATGGTGCCAGGGAGCTGCACGATCTAAGCGACACCCCAAGCTAGAAGATCTCACGTTGGATGACTTGGATAGCTCGGACAGTTCGGATGAAGAAGATGGATCCGAGTCCCGCAGCGAAGTGCACGATGGAGAGCTTCCTCCCATGGCGGAACGTGTTTCTATCTGCGAAGACTGTAACTATGCATTTTGCTGCGTCTGCAAGAAAGGCTGGCATGGCGAGTTGGTACGCTGTTTTCCACGCCGCGAAGGCGAGCCAACGGAGGAGGAAAAGGCAACCGAAGAGTACTTGCGTCTGTACACTACCCCTTGCCCTACTTGCAACGTGCCCTGCCAAAAGCAAATGGGATGCAATCACATGCGCTGTTTCCAGTGTGACACGCACTTCTGCTACCTTTGCTCGGCCTGGCTGTGTGCAGACAACCCATATAGGCATTTCAACGACGAGAAAGGCGAATGCTTCAATCGTCTTTGGGATTTAGAAGGTGGTGATGGCATCAACCCTGATGGAGCCGAAGCACTCCACCGCATCCCAGACGCACTTCTAGACTTTGACGATGACCCGGCATTGATAGCCATTCACGAAGAAACCGAGGAAAGTGATGACGACCGTCCCGCATTTGACTTTGATATTGATGAAGATGGCCTCCACCGACACCCTCCTCCTCCCGCCCCTGTTCCACCTCAAGTCAACCGTGGTGGTGGCAGACCTGACCAGCGTGATCACGCAGCTGTCCGCGCAGCTGCCGCTGAACGTCAAGCCCAAGCTCGCGCCATGGCCGAGGTACGAAACCGAAATGCGAGGCGACAGGCTAGACGCCCTGTTCGATGGGCAGAAGCCCCTCCCCAACGTCTCCCCCCGCAAGCAGGTGATCCCAGACGTCCTGTTCAGTGGGCGGAGATTCCCGAAGAACCATTGGCAGACGAAGAGGGCCCCATCCGATGGGAGGCTATTGCAATCCGACCAGGTAGAGCACAGGCACATCCTGGTCTTCAGCGATTTTTGGGCCTAGTACAGAACGACCGTGAAGACGAATGGGATAGTGATGAGATGGATGACGACTTCTAGATCGAGGTTTTATTTGTCCAACTCAACACTCAACCGCACACAAGATTTTCTTCCCATTCAAAACGCGTCTCAACGACATTGATGCATACAACGAATTCATGTTTTCTTTTTTTGCCTTTCTTTATTTCCTGATTTTTGTCTTTTATAAATTTCTCCCTTGTCTTCTATCCCACCACGTTTTGTTTCCCTCCTGCGTTTTCGGCTTTTTTTTTTCTTTTGTTCCCAATTGCTTTTGACTTTCGTTTCCTGGGTCTTTCTTCTCTGGCAAAGCGTAGGCAATATTCATACATACTTACCCATTCATATAGCGTGTGTTGCTAGCGCCTCTTCTATTTGATATTCACCTTTTTGATTTGATAGATTCATGATGAAATCAAGGTTCGTCATTCCATTTTCTTTCCTGAATATGTAAAGAGAATTATTGCATGGAAACTGCGTTTTGCCGCTTTGTCAACCAAGATGAGCTTTAAAAAAGCATCTGAAAAGTGCAAGCCTAAAATTTTGGTTTAATCCTACATATAACCTCCGTATATCATTTGAGCCCAAATAGATGCCTTACAGACGCAATGCAGTATAAGCGGCCAACTGTTCTAATATGCTTTTGAATGTAAAATATGGCCTATGGATTTACTGTCCTTCTTAGTGATTTCACAATGATTTAACAGCGTAAATCAGCTTTGCATCACGCATAGTATAAAACGACATTTTACTTATGAATACCACCTCAAATTTAAGAAGAAACTGTCTTTACTACCTAGGTAGTCCGAGGAATCCCTCTCTAGTTGGATATAAAGCTATTCCCTACTCTCCGTGATCATGCTGTAAGCCTGCATTTAAATCCAACTTTGGTGCAACCGCTTACCGAACGTATCGCAAACAGATGTATCGCCAATAGCGGTAGTGCATTCCTTATTCAAACGCTACACAGGATTGATACCTGGTCTCATATTTGGAAAGGTAAAGACAGACTGGACATTAGTTCCTGCGTTGTTGAAGTTCCCAGGTGAGTCGCAAGGCTGAGATGGAAACTTTGCGTAGTGATTGAAACAATAGCTTGCTTCAGGCCCTCATACACAGTGACATCAAAGAAGCCAGGATTACGGGTTCGTTTCCCACATTGATCGTTCAATTTCATCCGTACCCGCCGTTTTTGTGGCCTGCGTTCTCAATTTCGGTCATTGCACTTGCAACAACTTTATAAATGGGGATACCTTCCCATTTTTAACTCCAAAGACGTTGCTGCTATCTACACTGGGTAGTGGTGTGAAGTGGTCTATATTGAAAAAGCCCTACTCATTAGTATTCACAAGGGAAATTGGCTTCTCCCTCCAGCATGCGTGTGTGTTGGTGGAGTCTACGTCAGTCATAATGACATAGTCTCTGATCCCAGGTATCTGAGCAACCTCATTGGCACACAAGAATTCCATCTTTCTGCAGTTGGTAGCCTGGTTAGTGCCGTTTTCTTAAATGAGGAATTGAGTCACCTTACAGGATAACAGGACAAGCACCGGCATTCTGCGAGGTAGTCTTCCACGCAGTAGGCATCAGTTGACCATGGATTACCGCCTACAACTCCCCTAATATCTGATCTTCGTCCTGTCTGTTTGGCAAGGCATTTGGTTTTCCATCATCAATGAAGATTTTAAGAGTTCTTCGGTGATGATTCCTCGCCCGAAAATTTGTCATTTAGGCAAGAAGCCTCGAATTTTCCAAGCTGCGGATATGTCGTCAAGAACGGAGACATAAGGTGTTAAGGTCGTAACAGTCTAAATAAAAGCAGGGGCTCAACTAAATACATGCCGTAGGTTTATAATATCATGCAAATGTCTTCCGATGTCAATGCCAAGGCCAGTGCCAAGGTGAGCCAGTGGCCGATAAGTGGAAGCCAATAACCTCATTTAGCTAACTAGTACTCCGTACATCATAATAGATGAATCGTAAATGAGTGACCCATTTTGACTGACCGCTTATCCCTCACTTTCCACTCCGAAAACCCCACACCAAACATAGAGGCATGTAGTATGGGACTGCAGGTGAAAAATTCCTCGGATTTGGATCGGAAGACGCATTGCTGGAGAAACTCGACTTTCGTTCGACCGAACATTCACATGAGACGACTTAGTTCTAGTCGTAACCTATGTCCAGACCACAGGGTTCAGGTAACTTGTAAAGTGCATTGTCGAGGTCATTCGGTATTGGGACATGGGGAACAGACTTCATAGGATAGAGGAGTCGGCTCCTTATCTAATAGAACTCATGCATTGTGCTGGTAGACAAGTGGTGACTTCTACGATTTCAAGCCCATCTTTACTGGTTGTTATCAGACGGCCTGAAGTTGTCACTGGGCTCAGTGATATTTTGACTGTGGCTTCGAGTTCGCAAGAGATAAACGATACAGAACAGGGGGGCGAAGGCTGTGCATGAAGGCTTAGGGAAATCATCTTCCAACATTCAAGGTTTATATCGAAATACAGACCCTGAAAAAACCTTGGAAGAAAAAAGGTCTCAGGTGACTAAACGTCGCATTTAAGCTTATTTTGCATATAACCAATCAGGATCACCGCGGTCACGGCAGGCTTTAGCGCCAACCCCATACAATTGAGTTATTGCCCTTCTTGCCGCATTGCTTCTGTTTAATTTACATGATGAGAACGGTGCCAGAAAGAGCAATAAAGAGTTGAGAAGAGTGTCAAAATTGACCATTGAAAGGACTTTTAAAGAGAAGGTTTGAATCAGTGCCTCAAGGCAGGTTTACTACTAGTGCACGAATAAATTAAGCCTTGCTAAGATGTTCGAATATAGCCTATATCTTTGGTGACACTTATTGTTTTACTTCTTCTAGATATGATCTTGCTAGATCTGTATGTGAAAGCTTATCTGCAGGCAAGTATTTGGGCTCGCGCGATAGACTCCAAAATCTGCTGTGCTCAGTTAAAGCCTCAAGTCACTGCTGTACATATTAGTCACATTGGACGATGACTAAATCCATCATGATATTTACCGACTGAGTCTACTAAATTCAATTTGTAGTAATGGGATAGATGTTTTGTGTTGCTTAATCAAGTTGATTTGAGACGCATTTTTACAATTAGATACTAACTAGCACGGGTAGGTCTGTTCGTTTGAACATGCCTCTTGCACCCATGATTCAAAAAGCGCGACCGTATTTGGTATTTGTGATCAACCTCTCCAGTCGTGCCAGAACTCATAGCTCATGACCGTGAGATCGCAGAATAGTAAAATCAATCTGTAATGCCGGGAAGGGTGGTAACCATGCCAGGTCTCATGAGGTTGGTAGATGTCCGACGCATAGGCGTGGGTTTCAGGAATTGTGAGATTTGGGTCTTCGGAGCCAGAGCTAAAATCTGGTTCAGACAGACTGGAAGCTCCGAATTCGGGCGAGTTTGCTGCAGGCTCATCTATATCTGGGTTGAGCAGACGGTGGTTGAATCTCAACCGATCTTTGGGGTTAACACCCCGAGGAATACATGGGACATCCGGTGGTATCTCAAATCCAGGCATGGGGCTTGCAGCAATACCCATAAACGGTGGCGTCGGGCATTCATCGTCCCTATCCTGGTTGGGGAAAGGAAGAAGCCAGTCTAGGCGAAAGGTATGTCCAATTTCCTCCTGCCATGTAAGAGTGATGATGGCAACTCCACCGGCCTGGGAGGCGGCAATTACCATCCCAAGTTCGGGGAGGTATTTGACCAAATTTAAGCGATCACAGGAAGAGAACATGGTATCTCCTACCATTGATTCTAGTGGAGACCGACAGAGCGTCCGCAATCCATGGTCCAATGGATAAGGATCTAAAGTGATGTTATCTCCGGAGAAGTGAAGAATAGGGAAAAACCGAGGGTTACAAGCTGACCTTGAGGTTAGTGTACTAATCCAATATATCGAATCACATCGCTCACTTACGATGGCGTACAAATCCCCTCAAGATATCCACGTCGACAGCACGATCCGTGCCCCACTGTTCATTTTCTTCTTCGATCAAATTGGCAATACCACGTCTCACGCGGATTGATTGACGATGTGGAGTCACCTCATGATTTACCTCACGATCTTGTGGTGAATCGGTGCTGATAACAAAGCAGTCACGAATGGTTATAGGAGAAGCAGTTTCTGCGCCTTCTGAGATGGTGTGATTATGTGGTGTGATTGATGATTGAGGTCGTGATTCAATATGAACGCCATTGCCAAGGGGGAAAATCTCGTCTGGTAGAAATAGCCTCGAGTTTGTTGCGCGTTCTTCAATAGCAACTCCCTCAGAAGCGACGATCGATCTGGTCTCGACATAATCAGCCGCACGTGACACGTCAAAAATCATCCGACCATTTATCATCCTTGGCTTTGGTTCGCATCCACAGGCATCAAACTTGAAACGGTGTTGCTGGACTTGACGAGGATTCAAAGGCAAGACAAACCATCCCCTTTGCTCTTGGCCACTCCTTGGACAATCGTAACTGGAGGTGTTGACAGGAGTCAGGCTGTCCCAGACTCTCCATACAAAGACTCGGTTGAGGATATCCGTGCTGACCATCCATAGACCGTTAGGGTCCAGTTCAAAGTTGGCAAAAGACACGCATGGGATGTTGTCGAAATGACCCCTATAGCTGAGCCGCAGGTTGCGTGTTCGATGATGGGGCATGTCCTTCTTCAGCACTTCCATCGAGGGCGCACTGTCTATTGATACCCACGTGTTTTCCAATACATCAGAGCCTGCCACGCTTGAGGTCTTAGAGGAACTGAGACTGGTACCGTCACTCTCAGACACAACATCCACTAACGCGAAAGCAAAGACTGTGATGACGCCCGTATTCGAGCTCACAGCAATCATCCGAGCAAATTTGTGAGTGGCCAAGCCCCAGGCACTTAATTGAACATGTTCAGCAAAGAAAGATTTTACTTCATGCGCATCGAATGGTCGATTGCCTCCATGTTTAGCACTCCTGTTGATTGCTGAGAAAATGGCCTCAACATTGTAGCCAGTGACGTTTCCAGAGTCTGTCGCTAACAGCAAAACCTCATCAACCCCCAAATCATCCACAATTATGTGATTGATTGTATGAGGTCTAGAACGATCGATGTATCCAGGCGCATTGGGTTCCTTCATCACTGGGCGGATGATCATTTCAGGTTGGGAGCCAAGGAGCTGGCGGGGTCCACTGGGAATCCATACGTAAATGTTGTCAACTTGAGCTGTAAAGAGTAAATTTCGACGCTGTGAGAGGGCCGCCTTTCAAGATAAAGGTCAGAACCGAGGAAAAATTATCCGGTCAAAACGGCAACTAGTTCAGCAGGTACTCACCAAGTTACACCTCCAAGCAGACGCAGTTGGTTTAGAAACATCACTATAGCCCAAAGATAGTCAGTGTCAATGAATTGGGTAGTACAAGCGCAAATACCCACCTAGGAAACTAGCGCAAGTCAGTTTATAGTTCTCACGTGAGGTAACCTGAAGACAAACATACCCGCTCCTCTTCTGTTTCAACATTCAAGCTGTGTACCTGAGGTCGATATCGTGAAGGCTCTCTCTCAGCATCCATCAGGCCAGTCTCCTTAGCGAGAGGAGGACGAGAAGACATTGCCGTAGGACAAGGGTGCTTGTTTCCACTGGCGAAGCGCAAAGAAGACTTTCTTGGGTCTGAGCAGAGAGTTGTGAATAGTAATAGATGAAGCTTGATATGTCATTTCAAAGGGTGGAAAGTCCAAGCCACAAGAGACAGAAGGGCGGGAACTTTGTAAACAGATCATGGTCAAGCTGGTCGCGAACACTTCCATGGCTGCGGGGAGATGCAATCATCCGGTGATGGAATGACTGACCGCCTACGCACGGACCACCACTAAGTGCGAACCTAGAGCTTCGAGGGCTTAGTCTTCCTTCTTCTTACAACTTAGGATTTCTGAACGCTTTTCTATTGCATGATGGATTTGGTTGCTGGTGTACGCAAAGAAGGCAGCCGGTAAGTTGAATTACTGGTTATCATCGTTCTATATATGTCCAAGCTCGCTGATTTTTGTCTCAGCGGCGGCCGCAATGAGTTCAAGTGGTCCGACGTCCAAAGTTCCGCCCATCGCGAGAACTACCTAGGCCACTCCGTGATGGCCCCAGTTGGCAGATGGCAACAGAATCGTGATCTCAGCTGGTATGCCAAGGGTGACGAAGATGAAGAAGAACGAACCCGCAAAGAGCGAGAGGAACTTCAACGTGTGAAGGAGGCCGAGGAGGAAGCAATGGCCGTCGCTCTGGGCCTCCCAGTACCCCCAAAAGCATCTCAAAATGCCAATATGGTTCCTTTAGGAGGTCCCAGTAGTGCCAACTTAGTGCCAAAAGAAGAAGAGATGCCAGATGCTGGAACAAGAGAAAAAGACCACCGTTCAAGTCACCGACACAGACGCGAGCGAACCCGAAGCCCGCGGCGGGAAAGGCGACATGACCGAGGCGACGATCCTACACGTGAAAAGGACCGGAGACATCGCAGACACCATGAAGACCGAGAGCGCCATCACCGCAGCCATCGTCACAGATCCCGCTCACGATCTCGTGGTCGAGATCACTACAGACGACGCTCAGTCTCCCGTTCTAGGAGTAGACCTAATCGCAAAGATGAGGAACACCAGAAACGACGCCGGATGGAGCGCAGCTACTCGCCGGCTGAACGTCGGCGACACCCCGAACGCAGACGAGACCGAGATGACCATGACCGCCGCCACTGAGCTACAAACCAGAGATATGAATTGATAAATTAGCTTGGCGTTGGAGGAATCGATTCAAATCTCGGATTAATGATTTCGCACCACTATCAGAAAGACCACTATCTAATCTACGTGACGAACTTTTTCACATCGAGGTTCAATAGCTTACAACTCGTCATGAATGGTTTTTTCTAATCCGGCCAAATCAGGCATGGACATCATATTCACCACCATACTGGTCCAGCCGGTAAAGTGCTGTGTCCGCTGGCCACTGCCTGAGTCAGGGTTGTACTGTTCCCAAGCGAACCCAGTCTTCTTCCACTCGCGGAAGACATTATCGACCAAATTCTTCCGCAAGTCGGAGTACATCTCCCGTGCCTGTTCCTGGTGAGGTCCAGAAACTATTGCAGTGTTCTGTGAAGGTTCCGTTAAATCTTGCGCAATCTAATCAAAAGATGGAAGCACTTACATAGAGATTCTTCAACACCAAGTAGTTGATGTTAATCCAGATAGGGCTTCTCCAATAGTTCTCATCGGTCTCGTAGAACTCATCCTTCTTGCTCAAACTGCGGATACCGTAGTCACTCCACAGCTCCTCGGGATTGCCAATCAAGTCCAACACAGCTTTAAGGCGCGGGCTGTCAGGACCCAGCATACCAGTCAGGAATGGGAAAATGGAGATGTAGCCCTTGTGACAGACATGGACACTCTCTTCATATTCATCGATAGTCGCATCGCAGAAGGTTTGCTCCTTCTCGTCCCAATGCAAATCATCAATATTACGAGTAATAGCGGTCTCGTAGTAGGCGAATTGCTCGGCATCTTCGTCCTCACCGAGGTTCTCGGCAATGCGACGCATAGCGCGAGTCATCATTCCCATCCAACTGATCAGATCGACGTGCAGCTCACCGGGGTGCGGCGGCTGAGCTCTGGGGTAGTCATCGATGCCAGAAGTGAGGATATGCTGCACAGAACGTCCGCGCCAGCGGTAACCTTCCTTGGTCGAGAACGCTTCACGGTCATACGACGTGATGTCACCGCGCTGGGTGTTTCTGTACCAGTTGTAGTGCTTCTTCAAGAGCGGGTAGAATGATCGAAGATAGGCTTCAGACAGTTCCGGCTGTCGGACAGTGGCAGAGCGCAGGGTCGCAGTCGCATCTTGGCTGTCCAGGGATGCGAAATCGGTGCTCTTGTTGCTGCTGGTCTTGACTTTATCCATGAATGCTTCCAGGGCCATGAATAGAGTAGGCGGGTTTGCGTAATGGGGATATTGGATTGTAAACTCCGGGGGAACCTTGCTGCGTGCCTCTTGACCGAGAATTTGTTCACGGGCAATCCACCCATCCTCGTCCATCAGGTGGAACCAACTTTTGATAATTTCGAGCCTTTTAAAGTCAGTATTCCAATCAACCAAAACCAGCAAGTGAACGAAAGTAGGTGTGAACGTACGCAAGATCGGTATCGTATTCGATCACGGGCATCAAATGGAAACCTTCATCCCAAAGGAATCCTCTAGGAAAGAACGGCCGGGAGGGAACACAAGTGAAAAGTTCCTTCGGGCCTTCCATAACAGGCTGAACGGCAGCCCTGGCCTCGGCGGTCTCTTCCCAGAAGCCTTCATTCTCCTCTTCATACGCAGGGTTTGCGGACCGATCCACGACGTCATCACCGTGGAAGAACCCGATGCCACCAATAAGGTTAGACAACATTGCCTTGGAGAAGCTCAAGTACTTCGGCGAGTCAAATGGCGCCTGTGGCGGGAGAAGCTGCTCAAAAGTTTCCGAAAATGAAGCCGAAGCATCATCAATTTCCTTAGTGAGGGTTTCCGAAGTCAAGGGTTCTGGAGCAGAGCCAGAGGAGAACAGGACATCATATTCGAATGCACCAGCGAAAACTTTCTGCACAAGATGAGCATTGCCCTGGCCAGGTTTGTGATTGATAGTAAAAAGCTGGGCTGGGGGGGGGACGTTCTCTTTTCCATACTCTTCAAGGGCTTGATCAACCCCCGCCTTCATTTGGGCGAAGAAGATTCCCTTTGCTTGCCAAAGCTGCTCCTCTGGGAAGGCCACGCTAGCCACAATGCTGCGATCCAATGGCTTGTCTGTGGAGCTAGGATGGTTGTAACGGGGGTACGAGTTGGTTTCCGGTCCAGTGGTGACATCGATAGTAAAATCACCAAGTTCTGTGGAGTATCCCTCAAGTTTGACATTGCCTTCCACGCCAGTGGAATCAGAGGATGAAGAATCGGTTCCCAGGTGGCCGAATCCCTCGAGAGTGGAATAAAAGATCATCGAGATCGGCTGGTAAGGATCTGCGCCCTCTGTGGGCGTGCCTTTGACTCGGAATCCCCAGCTACCTCCGTGCTGGCCACCGGGAACTTTTATGAAATCGATTGTCAAGTCCAAGCTATTCCCAGCATCATGAATGGTTTCGCGTCCACCCTTCCGAATATCATACTCGTCCCATCCATACCCAGCCATTCCTTCATTTTGTTCGCAAGTGTGTCTGAAGTCTTCGGTAGATGTTAGCTTCATAGTTCACCAGTGCAACCGGGATAACAAGAATCACATACTTTGCTGAGCGCCAGCGTAGTCGTCAACCTTTCCCCAGATCAATCCAGCTGTGAGACTCTTTGGAATGCGAGGACGCACTCCAAAGTAGAGATTCGACTTGTAGGGACCCCACAGCAGGGACTCGTTACTGGCACGTCCAGCCTCTCGTATTAAGATGGACAAATCATTGGGGTCATCGCTTGCAACAATCCCAGTTGCGCAAAGTAGCGACGTCAATAACGCACAAATTCTGAGGTGACGCATTATGTAGCCTCAGACAATTGACTGCTGTCCTCTCCACAGCATTAAGCTATAGGTGTATGTATGTACATCCACTTACCGCCTGCTTAATCAAGTCTAGCCTCATATGCGTACCGAACAAAGCCCACGGACGTCACTTGCCTTTCATTTTCAGCTTACAGCTCTTCTCGTGGACAATGTAACTGTACACGAGCATACTATGTCTCAAAAAATTGTGTTCAACGTCCAAAAAAATTTCGGAAATTTCTTGCTATAGACACCGTGGTATCAAGTATGTAATCACATGAACTCGCGTGGATCTAACGATCCAATGTTCGCGCTCTTCGCCTTGCCATCAAATACAAATTCACTCATAAGCTTCCCAGTACCCGGCGCATTCTGGATACCCCAGCAGGTATGTCCAGCTGCAATATACAGTCCCTTCACGTCAGTCAGGCCAACTAGTGGCCCAGCACCAGAATCACAGTTTGGAAGATAGCAAGCCTGACGAGTGAGAACCTCTCCATCGCGCAGCTCGTCAGAAATACTGCCCACATGGTCAATGATTTCCTGGCAGCGTTCGTGGTCAACCTCGACATCTGCAGTAGTCTTTGGTAGTGGAACTGTTCTATCTCCATCGCCACATGCATAGACAGTTGCATCAGGACGCGCGTAGATCTCTGGTGCAGCCACGGTTGGACGCGACTTCTTTTCGGGATTAAAATCTGCCGGAATTTCGATGTTTGTAAACAAGCAGTATGCACTGACTGGTTTCTTTGGCTGGATCACCACGCTGTGCGCCCGCATGGCTGAGATTGGGACCTCTGGGAGGATGGAATTCGTCCAGGGACCAGCAGCAACGAGTACATCGGTCGCGGGGATGATTTGCGTTTCCCCAGATGTTTTATTAGTGTATGTCACTGATTCGACAGAGCTCTTAGACCGAGTAATACCTGTAACCTGTCCAAGAATGATGCTTGCGCCCTTCTCCTGGGCGAGCTTTGCAATGGACGTCGTAAAGAGGTATGGGTGCACTTGGGCGGTTTCGCCAGGTCCACTCATACTTTCATAGGCCCTCAGAAGCTCTGGCTCTATCCAATCCAAATCTTTAGGAATATTGGCAGACCTCAGCTTAGACATAGCCGCTGCACTGCGTTTCTGGAGGGATTCAGTATTTCTACCCCCAGCTTTCCCTACAGTGTTCTCAGCAAGAGCACGACCCCTCACGACGAGTTGGCCACAATTGACCTCTCTGTATCCCCATCGGTTGATCCCATCGTGCTCTTCTGCAAGTTCAGCGTGCAGCTTATAGCTGAGACCGACGAGGTTGCTCGGAAAAGCCCATTGCGCTAGCATACCACCCGCTTTTCCTGATGCCCCGCCGGCGATTTCAGAGGCCTCAACAAGTGTAATTTTGTGGCGGGCAGGGTCATAAAGTGGGTGTCTAGTGAGGTAGTATGCAGAGCAGCATCCAATGATGCCACCACCTGTGAGTATTTTGGTCAGCAAGTTCCGAACACAGCGCACGGGGTACGCAAACAATCTATTCTTACCAACAATGACAATCTCACGCCGGCCTCCAGTCGCTGACATCTTGAATTTCGGTGGTATTTTGGGCGCTAGTGATTGTAACGAAGCTACCGTGTAGGGAGTTGTAACTGATAGGTTTGGGCTGCAGGTAAGCTTGTGTACAGAGATTCTACGTCACCAGAGATCTTCCTAGGTAGTAATGTCCAGTCACATGTCGCATCCGCAACCAAGTCCACCAAGACCGGGATTTCTACGGATTTGACTATGAATCATGTAGAGATTTTTGGGTTCACTAATATTTGAACTAATGGTAGCGCACAAAGGCTTGGGCCGTTGAATGGCAAGGTAAAATATCAATCCAACAAAACAATGCTCCACAAATGCATGTCGTGTCAAAAGAGGGCAGAAAATTTTCCAGTGCATTTGAATAAAAAAGAGGTGTGAGACCGTAGGAGTAGTAAGGATTTGACGAGTTATCGTGAGGGACTGAGAGGCCGGTTGAAACCGCCTTGGCGGTTCATGTACTGTCGGTACTCGATCTTCTTCTCCTTCCGCACACCATAAATATTGTTACCGGGGATTTTGGTGTTCTTTGTAGTCCGGAACCTGCTGAAACCCATGGTCTTTCGCATTTGTGCTTCCAATTGGTCTTCGTCCGCATCTTCGTTGAAGTCTACGTCCATCTCATCCTCATGACGATTCGGTCCTGGGTGAGCACCAATTGCCTTCCGCCAATCATCTCGAGATCGAGGGTCTTTTCGGTCACTCTTGGGGCCTTGAGGGGGCGACCGGGCCATTGTGCCATTGCGATGCGGAGATCGGGAGCGCGAACGTTCGTGGAACTTCACGCTTTTGGGTGGATATCCTGAATTAGTTTTTTAGCAGGGCAAAATCCGGTTTTGGCGTTTCACCAACCTCGTCTATCTTGGTTGCGCTCACGACTGGTGCTTCTCTTTCGATCCTGAGCCCCACGGCCATCTCTGACACCATCTCGTCGATCACGGTCGCGGCGATCTCGAGACCAGCTCCGTTCTCGCCTTCCATCCTTGCGTTCTCGCGAGCGAGAGCGATACCGGCCGTCGTGTCGGTCATCTCGTGGACTGGTGAACGTCTGCGGTCGCGGTCTGACTCTTGTTCTGCTGCTCGAGGCCTTTTATCGATCGAATCCCACATGATCGAGCTGTCAACTCGTCGAGCACGTTTTACAGGTGGCTCCGCCATTGTACAAAAAGGACTGGTCGGTTATGGGCGTCGCCCTGTATGGCGTGGGAGTTTGTTACTGCTGGGGAGGTGAGGATGGCGTTGCTCAAATTTGAGAAGCTTGAGCGATTAGAATAGAATTAGGGACTAGAAAAGTGAATGTTCATAGAGATAGAAATGCAGAGGGTATCAAGATGTCGCAATGGGTGTTGGGCTGAACATCTCAGGACCAAAGAGAAGTTTATTCCGGCTACAGGAAGAGACCAGTTGCGCACTTTGTAACTTGGCAAATGACCGACCTATTAATAACATGAACTTGTACAACTTTTTAGTTCAATTTTTAAACCTTATGTCGAACACCATTTTACAAGATATAGTAGAAAATAGGGTAGGAACCCCGGATAAAGTCAGACCGCCAGAATAGCGCAGTCTATATAAATTACATGCTGTAACGTATTTCACAAGCGAGCCAGCCACCCAAGCGAGCCGGCCACCCCAACCAAACCTACTAATTTCAAATACATATAACTTAACCAAAACTCCATTAAATTAAATACACTAAAATGATCTATTCTCTAGATATATATTTCTTTTATGACCCTGAATTTTATATAACCCATATATTAGTAATACTCTCGTTCGGGGCTATAAAGGTAGCGAAGGCCTTCTCTACTAGGTGGGGGGGGGGGGGGGGAGGTGCTTTAACCGATTTAACCGGCTTAATAATTAATTAAGAAGCTTTAAGAACTAAGAGGCCTTCTTTAGTATGAATCTAACTCCGGGATCTAGTACACTTTTACTTCTACTTCTCGTTAGTAGCGCGTAATTCGCTTGCTTCTTTCTTAAGAAGTAGGTCCTATTGGGTTCTCTTGGGTTAGACCCATTTAAAAAGAGCCTATATAGCCAATCATATAACATTATAGCTTATACCTTTTGATCTACCTACTTGACTATAGGACTAAGGTGTTTACCGTTCACATCCCCTTCTCTTGTAAGTACATGCTCTCTCTTCCTCTCTAGACTTCCGCAAAGCTCGAAAAGCCCGAAACCCGACCCGACTCGACCCTCAAAAGGGTCGGGTTTCGGGCTTTTCGAGCTTTGCGGAAGTCTATTGAAAACTCAGTTTTAGGGGGCGAATTCGGTTTTCACCGGCGACAGCTATCTTTCAATGCCTATAAAATAGGATCAAAAGATAGAGCCGGGAGTTAGAAACAATATTTTGAGAGCCTATAGGCCCTTGGTCAGCGAGATAGAACAAAAATTAAATATGAGCAAAAAGAGGCAGCCAAGAGCTCGAAGGTTAGAAAGATCAGGCTTCTTCCCGAAGAGAGCTTCGTATGGAGACACACCAATTTTCGAAGCATAAAGCCGATTCATGGTGTAATTGATACCGCCAAGAAGCAAGCCCCAAAGGTATTTCGGCAGTTGGTATTCACTTATGATCGCTACCAGCGGTTCAACAAGATGACGATTTTTGATCTCTGCGACACCATTAAGCTGCTTAGTGTAATGTGGTGTTGGATCCCACACCGTCCCCTTGCTAGCAAGGTAAGTAGCCAGTGGTTTATACTCTATCGCATCATCGCCGTGATTTTTGACAGTGTAGTCAAACTATGTCTTGAGATAAGTTTCTAACTGGATGCAAACCTCAGTGACTTGAGAGCACGATTTCAAGAGATAAAGCTATAAATCTAGTGGCATCATCCGTAAATGTCACGAAGTAATGCTCACCACCATAAGAAGCAATAGAAATTGGTCCCTAGACGTCTAGATAAATGAATTCACTAGGTTTCGATTTAATAGATCTCTCCTTACCAAAAGATAGTGCATAACCCTTACCCTTAACGCATAGAACACAAGAAAAGGTGACACCGGCGCCTTTCTTTAGCTTAACGCTATTAGCAAAAGTCTCCATCTTTCACACACGATCCTCGCTGGCGTGACACGCACGACAATGAGTAAGATCAATTGAAATTGGAGAGAGAGCGAAAACAGCGTTTGGCGATCCAGTAACAAGGATAAATTCTAGTATATAGTCAACCTTATTAATGCCGGCACAGTTTAACCAGTAATACTCCCCTTCCTAGGTAGCAAAGCCAATGGTAGATTTAGGGATATACCGATCCTGATATTTGAATATCATTATACCATTTTTAGCCTATGTGCCAATATCTACCTTATCGAGGGTAGATATAGAGATCAAACTGGCACGAAGATCTAGCGCTAACCACACCTTATTAAGGATTAAAGGTGTAGCGATTTGCTCTATGGAGTCATGGTTTAGTAGATATAGGATAACATCGCCGTAACCTTCAGTGTAGAAAACATCCCTAGTGGTAGTTGATGCTGGCAAAACACACTATCTAAAGTTAGCAAAGATAGATCTTTAGGGATTTATATGTGTGCTGGTACCTAAATCGATTATCTAGCGTGTGGTATCATTGTTGTTATTGGCTATCTGTCCTTCCTATAACACAATGTGTGAATTGACTTTATTTGCCTAGAAGAGAGTATTTAAAGGAAGTTATTGTGTCGAGTAAGAGGATCACCTGTTGGAGGGCCTTGCTGCGGTGTAGTAGTATAGGAGGCTGGCGCAAAGATTGCATTAGCACCCTGCCGGGGCTACTATTGAGGTTATTGAGATAGTAGAGCATGGACTCGACCTTGACTATCTACCTAGCCAATGATATAGCCTGGTTAAGGGATAGTAACTTATTGAATTTAAGGTTGGTGCTGTGGCTGAGCACGCATTGTAGTATTTATTGAGTTTTTCAATAGAGGACATTTGCTAGTGAAGTGGTTTGCCTAGTACACCGTGATAGGAGCAGAAAATGACGTTATCCTCTCTAACAAAGTTAATCTTCTTTTTTGAGGATCTATCCTTGTTTTTGTTTGAAATGTTTTGCTTGTCATTGCTTCCTTTCCTTGTGTCTTTCTTCTTATCTTGGTTCGACGACGACGACGAGGATTGAACTACGGTTGCATTTGCAGAAGTATGCGAGGGGTTCATAAACCGGTTATGAATATCTACCTCGAGGAATTCGACATAGACCTGGTCCATAAGGTTCACATTTTTCTCGTCAACCTTGAGGTTTTATAGGAAGGCATAACACTTAGCATTCTCACTGATAGCTCTCTTGAATTGATGAAGGACAATCGTGGGGTGTATCTTAGCAGTGATAGCAGTAAGATCTAAGATCACGGAGAGCTTCTTGAAATTTGCGTACAAAATCGCTTGCTGAACCATTTTTAAAGCGGAGATTAATCCACCTAGTCTAGCGAGCAAATAAATGTTAATAAGATATAATAGCGTACATCGAGTAAAGCTTTTTGGATGTTTCTCGGATATCTATGTACTGAGATATATGAGAAAAAGGTTCTAGACCGAGAGTTCCCTTTAGTAGTATGATAGCCCTCGAATTGCACGATTCCCAGTTCGTGCACTTTATATTATAGGCTCTTCGGAGTGAATTATTGGATTCGACAACCTCCTTGATTCGAGCACGAAGTTAAGTAGGTGTAATAAGAATTATCGTGGTATCGTCACTAGAAAATTGTTGCGCTTCTTCAATAAGTAATTGTCAAACTACTTCAGGATCGGTATCTTAAAAATCCGGTGTTTTAGGCTGTGGAATACCCTAAGCAATCATATACGAATAATACCGGTTGTTGGTAGTGAGGGCAAGGTAGAGAGCAGTTTACTAGTCACTGAAGTTAGATTGTCCCTTCAGTTTTGGGACAGAGGCCGAGATATCAATCTCGTTTGGACTGAGAATAAAGTCCTCGATCTCGTAGGTTTGTTCCATCGGCATCGTGACGACAGCGAGGGAGAGATCGGCGACGTGAGGTTTAGTCGGCGACGAGGTTAGACCTGTTGGAAGTAAAGATTTTTTTTAGGGGGAATAGTCCTTCTCATCATCATGTATGAAATAGCAATTAGGACGGAGTTTAATGACCGCCTCCCGGAGGCGGTCAGTATTGCCGTCGGGCCAGGACTATATTATATGTTCTTACCCTTCATGTTTTGTTAGTTGAGGAAGCGAAGAATCCATCCTAGGAGTTCAGTTTATCTCTTTCACCCTTCAGTTTGCTTCAAGTCCTTTGGATCTTCCCTTCTGTCGGAAATCAGTAAAGTGGTCCATCTGGAAGGCATCTGGCAAGGATCTCTGGAGGGGAAACTGACTCGCTGAGGGTGGGTCAGGTTTCGGCCTGACAAGACCCACCGTTCGATAGATGGTATTGTTGGAAGGTCACGTGACCACCACTGTTTGCTCCCAGTACTTAGTCTCAGTCATAGCATGTAGATAGTTTCTCTCTCTCTCTCAACGCATCAAGAGATTTCCAGTTACATCTACATTCATCGTAGATCTCTAGTATCTCTAACAGGTATCCTGGGGGTTAGACAAGGTGTTAGTCTCGTCAAATTGGATTGGTGAAAATTCAGATTTGTGGGGTCAAAAATCTCCACCGTGGTGCGACGCAGGCACCAAAAAGGGTTAACCAGGGGTTCGAGGGTTGCGTTACACAATAGCCTCGAAAGCAACGGCGCTCATTACCTGATAGAGATGTATTACAGTTTCTACTATGAAGTGTAGATGTGACTGGAAAATCTCTGTTGTGCGTGAAGAGAGAGAGAAACCATCTACAAGATGGGAAACTAAATACTAGGAGCATGTGGTAGCATGTAAATATTCACATGCTTCCAACAGAGTTGTTTTTCGAGTTTCTTCCTTTCCTCCGTCTCATACCGTGACAAGTTTGAAAAAAACTGAAAATCACATAACCCTCATTTCACAATGAGAAACTATGTAAGATTGATGCCATCGACCGTTAAAAACATGGCCTTAAATCCGAGTAGTTATCAGAGTTCCCATTTAATGCTCACACAGATAGAAGTCACCGGCCTCAAACTGCTGATAGTTTTTTCCTGATCTGTATCCGCGCTCTTTCATGAGTTCTAACCGATACTCTTTGGCCTTCTCCAAGGTCAAAACGGGGTCCAAGTCATCTTGAACGATATTCTGTAGCTCCACTGGTAGACGTGCTAAAGCCTGTTTCACAGCATTTTGTCTCTCGAAACCCCAATCCTCCTGCTGCGGGGGCACATTGGCTGAGGAGATAATCCGACGGTGGGGATCAACCAGGAATAGCGCGAGGATCTTACGATGGCCGGGCTTAGATTGGTCGACGAGCGAGAATGGGGAAACCCGGTGCTGAACAGTGTTCGGGAAAGTAAGTAGCCGACCTTCTTTGCAAGCGACAGCTCCAAGGTCTTGTGTGATATCGCGATTATACCCGTTGCCGTCGACATCCTCACCAAAGCCAAAGACGGCCTGCAAGAATGCGAACTGCCCTTGTTCGTATCCAATATCTTGCATGTCCATCATGCCACGTTGACGAAATGCCAAGGAGTTATCAGTTATGTTTTCGCTGTCATAGTAGTAGATTGCGGTAGCACAGATGCGCTCGTTCTGTCAAAGGTTAGGATGTTTCGTTAAAAAGGGCGCGAAACTCTCACCAACTGTCCCTCAATGTGCCAAGAACCTCCTTCATACTCCGGCTTGTCTGGGCTCAATTCAATGTTCGCCAGCTTTATGATAATCTGCAGCTTTGTGTCGGGAAATTGCTTTCGCAAATCAACTCTAACCATTTCTTTTCGCGGTTCAAAGCTGGCTGGCTCAGGGGGAATGATAGGACGGGTACTCTCCCACTGATAATGAAGTTCCCAAAACTCATCTACGTCATAATCATCGCCCTCTGGCTGGACAGGCTCAGGATCTGAATGTTCACCATATTCGACCCCGGTGTACTTAATTCTTGGATCAAAGATTACGGACAAACTGCGATTCCAGAGCGGGATTGTCCGAGCGATAATTTTCTCAATGACATCATAGAGAGGCTTGTGGTGAACAGGATGGGCGTTGTTGATGTATGACAAGATTCGACAGCTAGCGTCATCAACGATTTCCACGTCGCACGGGAGCCATTGAAACTTATCACTGAAGACAAACATTTGATCTTCGCGATGGTATTGATGCCTGCCATTCAAAACTGGGCCACAATTTTGACTCGAAGGAACGGGTACAAGATCTCCTTGTCCCACGCTTCCTAAACAGTCATCAAGGCCAATAATTCTGTCCGGAAGCACGCGAGTTTGGCCGTAGATCACGGGGAACAGTGACGGATGCACTAGATCAACTACTTTACTATCCGAGCCGGGGTGGAAATCCTTTTCCGCAACATTCTCGAGAGGTTTCACAGCCACTTTGAGTGACCGTTGTATCTCTTTTGACACAGCGGTATCGGACTTGATCACGCCCACATCAAAGACACGGACATAGCCCGTTTCTTTAAAAATTTTAGCTTTCCATTGGAGTTCTTTGAGAATCCATTCCATCATCTTAGAGGTCACATCTTGACCACTTTGGGCGATCTCGTCATGCCATTTCGTCGTGATGTCCTTGTCAAAGACCTATAGGCGGTTAGAAACAACTGCCAAGGCCAAAGGACAAACGAATAAACCTGCACACACCTTCTGATCCCATTGGGGTTTATCGGTAATGGTGTTAACCACCCGCATCATTAGAACTTCTCGGTGAGTCACTAAGTCACTGGGAGCAAGGTCAACTTGAGATCCTGCCAACAGCAGCATGGAATCGTACTTCAAGTAGTCTTCTTGCAGCTTGTCATTGTCCAATGCATTAGGGAAGCCGCAATGCCAGGTATGCATCACATTTTGCTAGTTTGTTAGCATATGGCATTTGCAGAAGGAAGGTCCGGGTTCTCACATCGGGCTGGCAGTTTAGCTTAACATTGAAGCCTGGCATTCGAAGCCGTGGGTTAGGATTTACAGACATCTTGATGTAGAAAGCTAGTATGGTGGTTTTTTTAATAATTCGCGTCCATGCGTGGTTTTTGTACTTGTGCGGTTTTGATGGGGTCCAGGCAGAAACGGGCTAGTTCTAGGCAGAGAAGACGCCTAGTCGGTTTTAGGCGGAGCTGCCTGGAAACCGATGTCGGCAGCTGAGGCCTCCCAAGAATTTTTTTTTCTGGAAAACAACAGGAAATGGAATAAATTCAGCAGGAAATTTGCGTATCATCAGCGCTAGAGCTAGACTTGTGTGGTCCGAATGGGCAATGTGAGGTGTGATGGTAGTGGAAAAATGGAGAAAGGGTCGGATTGAAGTCTTGCAGGTGGTAGCTTAGACACAATCTACATCATAGTCTTTGATCCCAAAAAAAAGCATCTCTCAGTTCTTATTCCATCTTCCTTGGAATTGGTCGTTTTGTAAGGTCGTTCTTGAATAGGTATTCACCAGGGACTACTATGCAGCGAAATCAAGTGTTCGCTTTCCAATCTATCAAGTAGGAAGTGACATTTTAGTTATGGAATGAGATTTCAATATTCCAAATTTCCACAAAAAGGCTGAAAAAAAGAGCATCAGAGCCGGAGCAGCGGCTTGATAGGAACTGCTTTCTTGAAACCATTCTATATTCCACATGTAGAGGTAGATAACCCCACTAATTGTGCCAAGCGCTCAGCTCAACACACCTTCGGATAGTGGTGTGCCCCAGTCGACAATAATTCTCAGTCAACGAAAATTTTTGAAATTATGTACCTTTTGGATAGTTTGTAGTTTGCCTATACAAAAGGTACAATTAACACAACTTCAAAAAATCAGTTTTTCTCAACCCGTTGTATATTTTTTTAGGCCAAATTTTGTCTGGTAGAGGTGCTTACAGATACCACTTCAACACTACTTGTTACTCCACTTCCGCTTCCATGCGGGGATATTTGGAACAACCAAGACTCCTTAAGAATGGTTTCTTCAAAAATAAACATGCGACAATTGGTCTATAAAATTGTTGTGTATACATTGACTTCCCCCCCCCAAAAGAAAACAAAAGAAAACAAAAAGGCCCCTAAAGAGAGGAAGGGCACTCACTGCCTAGTTGAAGTGCTGCAGCTCGCGGGCCGGCCCGTCGAGCCCCAACTTTAAATTTCACCACGAAATTTTCGCAGCACAACCCCGCTTCCTGTCAACCTGCGTCCCCAGAAAGCAACTGGACCAAGACAGATCATTAAACGAAAAAGGATGGCGCCAATTCACCTTTCACACAGGCGGACGCACAATTTGCTCTTGATTTCGAAACTCTTGAGCTTGCGCGACACTGCGTCGCCCCTCACACTTATTTTGGATTCCTTGGAGCAACCGGCTACGCCACTCCTGAAAGAATATATCAGACGTGCAAAGGTACGTGGGTTCAGAAACTTGCATTGCCATATACGGGAGTGGGTTCCCATGCTGACTAGTTCGCCAGCTGTCCAAAGTCCATGTTACGCTCATCGCTTTTGAAACCCTGAAGAAACCCGATGGAGTTGATGCTTTCGTATCAACACGCCGCAAGAGTCCTGGCGATATAGTTAAAGAAGTGAGCGCTGTTTATCAGTCTGTTGCAGCTTCCAACCCCTCACGCAGTAAGAATGGTTCATTTACCCCGCTGGTGGATTCGTGCTTACTGTCTTTGCAGGGCGTCTTATCCTCATCGATTCAATCAACCCTCTTCTAAACTCAAAAAAAGTTCACCCTGGGTTTCACCTGCCCTCTTTCCTTGGCTCGTTTATTGCTCCCACGTCGCCATCGGCCAAAGTTGAAGCGTCACTTGTGGTAACATATCACCAAGATGTTCCCGAACTTCCACAGCAAAGTCCCTATTCACCGCCACCTATTTCTACATTGATGTACCTCGCTACGAGTATCATCACACTCCATTCATTCTCGCACATTCTAGCACAGAAGGCCGCTCGCGACCGCAGTCTAGCTCCCCCAGTCTTTGGGCTTGAGGAAGAGCAAGAAGGTGTTCTCCTCGGCCGACTGGACAGATTGGCCGGTACTGGCAAAGCAGAGGGAATTGTCATTGAGCTGGAGCACAGGCGGAAGAGTGGTCGTGGTGTACTGGAATGGTACCTTCTCCCGCCTGCGTCGCGGTATTCGCCACAGCATCTGAAAGAGATTGTGACGTTGCTTGACGATAATATCTTGTACAACCCTCCCTTAGAGCGAGATCTAGGCGCCGGTGATGAGGAACCGACATCAACATTCGAGTTGGGTCTCACCGACCGACAGAGACGCGAAAGAGAGGGCGTTGTGTTGCCGTACTTCGACGCACAGCACAACGATGGCCCCGGCGAAGGAGGCCGGATTCTTTACGACATGGGAGAAGAAGATGATTTCGACGAAGAAGAGGATGAAATTTAGACATCATCAAATACGATATATGTTCACACGCAGTTCTTCATATTCTAGAATCGGCGGATTGTAACCCGCAATCACCGAGGTATTAACTATGCGTACATTCCTACAGCCAGGCCCCTGAGCATGGACATGGAGAGCAAGGAATCAGAAGAATCGCCAGAAAAGAAGAATGAAAATGACAAGCCCGACGCCAGCGAAAGGTCCGTACTGTGAGATGGTTAGCCGATCGTGCAGGGAATACTGTCGCAATGTTTAGACCTACCTGCTTCAGCAACAATTCCCAGTTGATGCGTACAGCTGCCTTTCTGTACTTCTTGCTGTCCTCACGCAGCCGCCCTGAGAGTTCACCCATCCGCTCCAAGCTATCGCCTCGATACAAGAGGTCCTCAATATTCTTCGTCATCACCTTGGTGACATCACGGAGCTCATCGTTCAGCTTGTCGAGGTTCTGAGATGCACGACTGTCTTGGTACAGTTTTTTTGTGCGCTGAATGAAGGTATCAAACTCGACGAAAGCATATGGACGGAGGGTTGGTGAGAGGTATTGTGAGGACGTGTATGTGGTCGTGAATTCGGAGGCCAGATCAGCGAGATAAGTGAATGCGAGCTTGCGGGGGTAGGACTTGTCGCAAATGCATAGGAAGCAGACGTTATCCTGGATTGTGTAGCTGCAACCCATGTGAGAAGTTGTCCATTGATAACGTTTGTTGACTGGTGGGTGCAACTTACTGTAGGCTGTATTGGCCAGATTCAATACTGGCTTGGGGTGCGGAATTGCGATTTAAGCGCCGAAATATCATTTTAGCCTGACCCTTAATCTCAGAGAGCTCCGATTCAGCCTACAGATATTGTGAGCTCACTCTCCGCTCAAATCATCATTGTCACGTACCTGCTCGTCGTCGACTGAAGCGGCCAGCATGAGGCCTATTTCACTTTGAAATCAGCACTCCACCCGCTCGCAACCCCCTAGAGAGTTCCTTACCATCGAGCCTTGCAATCTGTGTTGACCTGACCATCCTGAAAACGTTGCTTCCTTATTCTGAAGGACAGCGCTTTCTCTGTTTTGCCGTAAGAATGGCTCCGAGGAAGAGAGACACGAAGGCGGTAGCGAGGTCCCGTGCGGCAGAACCACGACGTTCGGGGTGAGCTTCGCATTTGCTTTTGCTTCCCTTTTTTAACTAAAAAATCATAAAGATGCCCTAGTCGTGCTGCTGCTAGTTCTGCCAATGTAGCAGAACATTTGGGTCTCGCAATGTCGACCCCCAAATCCGAAACGAGCTCACGAGCTCGAACCCCAAGAAGGCCTGCCGCTAGAGGGAAATGGAGTGAGGAGCAGCTATTGACGAGCGACAAGTCCCTCCTCATCGACTTGGATCTAGTGGTATGATCCGATCATTTTAAAATGTGTACCGTGTTTTCCAAGCTAACGATAACCTAAAAACGCCTAGAAACTTCTGGCACGACCTGAAGCATGGAATTTCCTCGAGGAAAGCGATAAGCGCGAAATACTCGCTCTCCTCCCCCCAGACGTTCACCCGGAGGCACAGGCTACATCAGATGACCCAGACGCAAAAATACCACCCATTCCAGACTCTTTTATCCGCTATTCAAACAACTGGCGCGACGGCGTTCGACAGTTCCAGCTCGACCTCCAAAACGGCCGCTACGACCCCGAATGGCTACGCCAGGCGCAGGAAGCCAGGGAGCAGCGTGAAAAGGGCGACTTTGATGACTTCAAAGAGCGCGAATATGAGCAGTTCTGGGGACAAAAACAAAAAGCGGCCTGGAGAGCACCAGCCGGAGAAAGTGCGCGCGTGAAGATGGGAACTCTTATCGATGAAGGCGTTATTCAGCTGGGCGACATCTGGAAATTCTACTACGTTTACGGTAGAGGCCCTGGCAGGATTGTTATTGAAAAGGAAGTCAGGGTAAGTCAAGATCTATTTGCTCCGCATGCAGCCTCGCAATTTGCTGACTGTTACAGGTTCTTGACCGCAATGGGGTTAAATTGACTTTTGCAATCCCACCTGGTGAACGAGTCTTTCTTCGCAGCAATTTTTACAATGCAGAGCCAGTTTCAACGCCACAAAAAGGGAATGAAGATGTGAAAATCGATATCGAGACACAGCCAGATCCAGTGAAATCCTCTTGGAGTGATAAACAGTTGAAACACGAGGACCCAGAGTCACAGGTTACCAATACAACTTCCAATGGCGACGAGATGAAGCTCGGCACCGATCAAGTGTTACAGGAGGTTTCTCCACCTTCCAATGACGAGATCAATCTCGAAATCGACCAAGAGCCACAGGAGAACCATGCTTCTTCCAGCAGCGAGGAAATGAAGCTCCATAATGGTCAAGCGCCACACGAGATCCCTAAATCTTCCACTGACGAGATGAAGATCGATACCGACAGTGTCACCGTCACAAAGCCAGTCATTTCACCATCAACTGTGGAAGAGAGCCAAAAAGAAACTCCTTTCAGCGTTGTTATTTTCAGCCCCAGTGGTACGCAAAATAATAAACCCAAGCGCACAATTCCTGAGCCTGAACCTCAGCCCCCAATGAAACGAAAGCGAGGACGACCACGTAAAAACCTATCAAAGCAACCCAAACCGGAGCCGCCTCGAGAGCCGGAGGTGCCCCAGGAGATAGCAGTGTCCCAAGGCGATGAACAAAGTCCCACCGCTACTCTCTCCTTCATGGACATCGTGGCTGCCAAAATTCAAGAAAACCACAAAGGTGCAGCAGAAGCCTCCCACCCAAAGCCCTCGCAGCCAGAATCCCCTTTTTCGGTGTTTTCTTCAACCCCTGCCCTCCCAGAGCTCCTTGCGCCAGAGTCATCTACGTCGGTAGAGGAGTCGTCTATTGCTAATACCAACGGCAAGGGTGACAAAGTAGGATTCTTGGAAGTGTCCACGGCTCAGTTCGATACACCTGCGGAAAGCGTCGAGGCACCCGTCAAGGCGCCCGCTAAGGTTGAACAGGACGAAATCAACAACCCCCCAGGCACTGAACAACAGAAAGACCCAGTCCCAGCTCCATCTCAAACTACTGCCAGTGAGTTTGATGAGATTATCGTCCCCAATCTCCCCTCTCCACAAGCACTTGTCCATAAGATTTTACAAATCGACGGTCGCATGCCGAACGGCCGTACAGCGAATGCCTGGAAGGAAATTCGGTGCTACCGAAACAACCAAGATATGGGTAGTCTCTTTGATGTGCGAGAGGCTTGGTTCCTCCAGCATGGACGACTTGAGTAGCCGCCTTCCACTTCTAGCATGGAAATATTGACTCACCAGACCATTTAATTTTCACCTACACTACCCTTGATATCATGTGAAGATCGGAATGGAGTTTGGTCTTTAGTTTTACCAAGGTCGCTAGCTTTCTAGTAGAAAATGGAACCCAAGGTCTAGCTATTTCGTATAGATCAAAAGTGAAAAGTAGAATCTGGTATGGATGTAAGGCAGCTGGTAGCCTAGGGCTACGGCCAGGACAGTCTGCCAAGCGTATATGGCAGGAGGATTTAAGAATGTGACATCACTGAGGTAAAGAAGTCGGGAACTATAAGACCGACCTCATGCACTCGAATTCTAATGAGGATAGTTATGTAAGAAGTAGTCTTTTAGTCTGACCTGAATCCTAGGAGATTGACCACAATCACATACCATGGAATATGTTCTATCCGATACCCAAAATGACCTTGACGATTTTTTTGCGGTTTTCCCCCTTGTGCCTCCACGATCTTGAATTAGTATTTGTTAGTCTTGCTCCTTGGCAACTATTCACATCTCGTCTTTCTTCTCTAACCAGGGGGCGGTTATACAAAGAGAACTCTTGAGTTTTGGGGTTATGGAAGTTGTTGTCAGCGAGGTAGAGTGAAAATTACACGGCCTACCAAAAACTCGAGCTTGTCTTTAATCGAGATCTAAATATGATAGCAGGCTGACCCTTCCTTCCCACTAAGGCCCGTCGTTCATTTCAGATACAGCGGGCGTATGATCCGAATCCGCAGCAACGTCAACAGCAAAACTGGCCTGTACAAAGTCTTCGAGTTCTTCACTCACAGTCTTGAGCTTCTCCTTAACACTTGCAACACCTTCTTGTCCAACAATGTGTCGTGAAGGAGGATTTTCATGGCCAGCAATTGATGTTATGGCATAGACTGTTTCAGAGACCAGCACCTCAAGGTGTGCGGAGCTTAATGGTGGGTGCATGGAGACAACCTCTGGAGCGGAGAATGGGCCATTTTCTATGGAGCTGACTCGGGCATTTTCATCGTTTGCTCGACTGGGTGTGACTGGGCTGTCAGACGAAAAGGATGCATCGGGAAGTTGGGGGACAAGGTGGTTTAGGATCCCGCGGAAGAGAGGTGCTTGATTGTCGGCGGGCGAATAGGCCGGAAAGATTGGGGGGACGCTGATTACTAGGTTGGTGAGGATGCCAATTTCGATGCTGCATTGGAAGATGGTGAGTTTGACGTTGAATGGAGCAATTTCATAAGCCAGACTCTATCAAGACGGTTAGTTTCTGCAACAGTATCAAATTATCAAATACGCATATAGAGACTGACATCACAGAATCCTTCGAGGGCCCAACCTGCCGCGCAGTACATTCCTAGTCCGGGTGTACCGATATGCGCCGCTGTACATCGTCAGATTAAAATTCAAGCGCTGGGCGGGATGTGTTTCTTACTGATCCCTGATATAATCATCACATGCCCTGCTCGCTCTTTCCTCATATGGGGGAGCGTGGCCTTGATGATGTTGAGAGGGCCGAAATAGTTCACCTCGAATTGATCACGTACGAGATTCATGGTTTGGGTTGAAGCAGAAAGTTCCTCAACTGTTCCAATAAGGGCTTAGAAGCAGGTCAGTAAGCTTTACAAGGATCCCTTGAAGCATGGAGGGATACCTTGACTTGTACAGCATAGAAGTATGTCCACTCTTCCAAATGTTGCGACTGCATCTGCCACGACTGCCTGGCACTGCCCCATCATTCTGTATCAGAAACCGTCAGTCATTAAGATCAAACCCCATGATAAAATTGACTGCCTTGATGTCGCGCACCGGATATCTAGTGGAACTGTCTTCATGCGCTGTGCCCAGTCATCACCATGGTGCTCCACCTCAGCGAGAAAAGCATCAAATTCATCACGGCGACATTCATCGCGTTCCAAAGCTGAATGTGCTAGTCCAAGAAATGCATAATCTCCATGTGCAAGAACCTGCCGCGCGACTGAGAGGCCTATAGGCGAATCCCCCGCGGTGATCAGCCATACTCGAGGCTCATTATGCGATGGGAATTGCACGCGGGCATCAAAGGGGGGGTTATTGTCCATGAGGGTCAGCGCCAACAGCCGAGCGCGCTATCCATTACGCTATCGCAATTTCAAAGCTGCTCAATAGAAAACAAGTATAAGAATGGAAGATGCCCGGAGGGTCGGAACACAAATGCCAAGACCGCGCCGGGCTTCGATCTAATCGCGTGCTAATCGCCCACGTTAGCTGGCCTCTTGGCTTCCTCATTCCTTTTCCTCATCCATCATGTCGGAACAGAGGCCACGCAGACAGGAGGAGTCCAACGTATGTATCGCTTATTCGAGGATGTTGCGTTGAATTTGCTGACCCCCTTTAGTCGGGCTTCAAGGGGGCCCTTCAGGGTCTTGGAATCTTCTTGTTGGCCCAATTTGCCATCAACCAGTACATGGGATATAAAGACAAGACAGACACTCCGAGCGTGAATTCTGGTGGCATCCCCGCTTTTGCCGATCGTCCCGATCCCAGCGAAATTGCAGAACGCAGTGCTCTCCCCGAGGTCATCGCTCCGATCTGGCCTTCCGACAGCGCAGTAGATCTCCGCGTTTATGTAACCCCGTCTATCATTGTGCCGAAATTCAAGTCATCAGACAGTATTCTTGTGCTGGACGAGAAGAACTTCACACTTGGAAACTACAGTGACACTCGCGAAATCGACACCACCATCAAGGTCCCAAAGCAGGTCCAACAGAATGGAACTCTCTGGGCTCACTTCTTTTTGGCTCGCACCGGATACCCGTTAGACCCCGCCGCTAAGGATTACAACACGGCCGATGCACTCCACTTCCCCCGACCTCTGAACCAGTACCTTCCCAAGAAGAAGGTCAAGAAGCTGAAGAATCTTCTGTCGGGCCCCGAGGATGAACAGGACCAGGAGGAAGATAACACCCCGGATGTCTCAACTATGTCATACTACCACCCCAATTTTACCTTGTCTATGATCCCAGATTCCGGAATCCAGAATTTTGTGCAGATGAACCCCGCGGTTCGCCAGTATGTGCAGCTGGAGCGGACTGGTGCCCGCGATGCCACTGGAAAGAATGGGTGGTACTACCCGATCGCTTTCGTTAACACTTTTTGGCAACTGAAGACCCACATGACCGAGTTGAATTCTACCGTCGAGACCGTGCCATTGCATATTACCCTCAACAACATGGCGAACTGGAAGTTCAACATCCTCAGTAGTGTTGATGAAGGCTCGAAGCAAAGTTCTCGCCAGGCTGCCTATGGTAAGCCTCCTCCCGGTGGTGGAGATGGAAATGAGTGGGAGATGGTGAAAGAGATTCTTTTGGATACGAACATTTGGCTCCTCTGCACCACGGGTGTGGTCACTGTCTTCCACATGTTGTTTGAGACTTTGGCCTTCAAGAATGATATTGTAAGTGAAATTTCGCCATCAAAAGTCGTGGTGTCGAGTATCGCTAACACTATGACTTTCCAGGCCCACTGGCGTAAGAAGAAGGATGTTGTTGGTACCTCAGTTCGGACAATCCTGGCCAATGTCTTCATGCAGGCTGTCATTTTCCTCTACCTCATGGACAACAGCGAGAATACCTCTTGGATGATCCTGGGTAGCCAAGGATTTGGTATTCTTCTAGAATTCTGGAAGATCACCAAGACTGTCGACGTTCGCTTGCGCCCGCCGCCAGCCACCTCTCGGCTGTCGTTCTTGCCCTATGTGATTGTCTTCGAGGACAAGCACAAGCTTAGCGAGACTGAGGAAAAGACCAAGGAGTATGATGAAATTGCCTTCCGCTACTTGTACATTTTGGCTGTTCCCCTTCTACTCGCGTACGCCGCGTACAGCCTGGTATACAACACTCACAAGTCATGGTACTCCTACGTTATCCAGACCCTAGTGGGCAGTGTCTACGCCTACGGATTCCTCATGATGGTCCCCAGTCTCTACATCAACTATCGGTTGAAGTCTGTTGCCCACATGCCTGGAAAGGCGTTGACCTACAAGTTCCTGAACACCTTCATCGACGATCTCTTCGCTTTTACCGTCAAGATGCCTTGGCTCCACCGCCTGGCTACTCTTCGTGACGATGTCATCTTCTTCGTATGGCTCTACCAGGGCTGGAAGTATAAGGTGGACTACAAGCGCGTGAACGAGTTCGGCCAGGGAGGTGATAGTGACGACGAAGAGGAGCCTACTTCTGCTATTGAGGGCGACAAGGAGGATGTGGCTACTCAATCCTCTTCCAAAGCTACTTCCAAGTCGCCCGCTCGTAAGAGAAAGTGAATGACAGTTTAGAGGCAGGTCTTACCCGCCGATGGGCCGATGAACCTAGGATCAACGCTTCTGCACACGTAGTAAATCACTTGATTTTACTACTTTTGGCATGATGCTGGCGAGCATTGGATCATAATCATTACGATACTGCAGCAAGCCATGTTTACTTACGGTTCTTCTAATAATGGATCCCTCAAGATACTCACTTGAGAATTCTGAGCTTTGCTTTTCCAGTGTCATGAGAGTAGATTAGACCAAGTTATATGACCGCGTGATCAAACCAATCATAATGGATGAAGATAGCAGCCATTGTTGATGGTTACCCGATTGGGTTTAAGGCCATTTTCACATCTTCGCGCCCACTTGTTCTTCTATGCAACTGCCAGTGGATTTACACCAAAAACCATTCTTTCTTTGGCTCTATTAGTTTAAAACCAACCACAAAGAATTCCACTTGACGAAAATTCTTGCTTTTTCAACACGTGCAATTTCAGACGAAGCGCGGCATCGCGCAATTACGCGCCCATACCACCACCCCAAATCAAACTACATTTAATCATTATTGACGACACCCCAATTGTGGGAACTTTTGCAACTAAGCTTGTGTAGATGGATAGTGATATAGGCAAGTTTTGTTTGCATCCCTTCAATTTAACTATGCTAACAATTCTTCAGGTAGCAACCAACCAAGCGGCCTGCTTGATGCGATCGAGCACTTGGAAGCTGGTATGGCCAAAAAGCTTCTTAAGACGGAAATATGTTACTAATGATGCGGTAGTTGCATTTGTCCCGCCCAAGCAGAGATACACAGATGCCAGCTTACTAGCCAAAACAATAGCTTCAAACGCGTACGAGAGCGGCATCCCGCAACCCGTGCTGTCCCGTCTCTTGAAGATTCTGACCACGAAAAATAACTTGGATCAGGGTACAGTTACCACGCTGATCAAAAACCTATACCCTCAGGAAAGAATCGTGTCTAAGAATGTCACTCAAGTGGTGTGCTGTCTTGGGCCCAGCAAGAACAAACCGAGCCCTGCTACACAGGCTCTGCTATTGCGCTGGTTGATTCTTACGTATGATCTATTCGAAGATAGGACGCATCTTGCCAAACTCTATGCTGTTCTTTTCAACTATTTGGATATGATTAGTTTGCGCAAACCGCTTTGTCACCTTCTCTCGCTTCTCACAAGACGAAAGCACGTCAAGCCATTCCGGATTCAAGCCTTGATGGGATTGATCCAGACTGCAGGTGGTGAAGACAAAGAGCTTATCAGCCTTCTGAGGATTTTCAAGAATTTTTACCCCGAGATTATTCTCGGGGAGTTTGGAGGATCGAGAAGGAATTCCCTCTTCTTCAAACACCCAGACCCCGAGTGGTCAAGCCATGTAAAGGAGCTTCAAGATCAGAATATGGAAAGAGTACAGGCTGGCCAGGAGTCGAGTTTTCAAGTTGTTCATCGGGGAACTGTGAAAAGAAGTAGGATTGAAGTGGTGATTCCGACTCTACAGACTTCACGAGTCTCTCACAAGCACACATCTTTGGAGGAGCTTCGTGACGTTGGCCATTTTGTCGACACCCTTGACAAGATCGAGTTACCAAATCAGATTATCTCAACTTTGGGCGACGCAATGGCTCAGAAGTATCTTCATCTGGTCCAGTCCGAACTTGCACATCACCGTCTAAATGCATGGTTGAGAAATTTTCTTGAGGATAGGTTGGAGATGCTTCGTGGTGATGAAAATGATGAGCCCGAAACATTATCCTACGTGTTGGATTTTGTTGTGGAATATGTATCCTATACCAAGGTGAGTTCTTCAAATAGATCACCGTCAACTCAGAAACTGACAAAACGGTAGGACCTCCCATCCTCGATCCGTTCCTTTTTGAAGTCTTATCTGCAAACATGGAATGGCAAGGATAATCGTGACCGCGTCTTCCGACTTCTCAAGTATATCTCAATCGAACCTTTCGCGTCGCTCCGGAGTGAATTCTTGTCACCATTGGAATCAGCAGTGTTAGACGAGAGTCTTCGTTCCAGAACAGCATTGCTGGGGTTCTACTCGACGTTGATCGGCCAATGGGGGGTCAAACTTCGATCACAGCCAGATGAAAAAGAAAAATCAATCCACCTGAGTCAAATTATCGTTCACGCCGAGCTTTTAGCTTCTTCAATTCTGGAGTTCTCAGTGGAGGACGAGGATAAAAAGTCCAAGCCAGCTACAATCTCCGTTCTCGGCTTCTACAGAAGCCTTTCGGAACTTTTCTCGCACGCACCTCAAGATGCCCGATTCCGCCTCACACTTCCGCACGCGCAAACAGTATACACGCTCGCCTTCACACCCAGTGTCGTTGCGATCTCAACCCTTAATTCCATCTTGGCCGTCTACAAGTCTGCATTCGAGGCCTCTCTGAATTCCCATGTTCTCCAAGCACAAAACTCCCCGGCTTATGGAACAGATCTTGTTGGTCGCTTCAACGGGTATGTCATGGATATGTGCAATGTGCTATGGCGCAATCGTGCACTGAATACCGAAGACCCGAATGCGCTAGGCTGCCTCGTCCCAACACCGACTACCACTGCTCTGACAAACTATATCAAGGATTTGTCTGAGGCGGCCAAACATTATGACCGCGAAAGTGCATTCCATATTAATCTTGCGTCCATATTCTCTCTCAGTCATCACGCTGCATTCTGCAACCTGTCTGCAGCTTGCTTTGCGGATCTGGAAGAGGACCAGCATGTTGCGGACCACTGCCCGAAATTGAGAAAGCCGGTCACCCAGAAAGTGCTACAGGCACTGGAGAAAGATGGTGGTGCTAAGATTACATGGCAGGAGTACCGTGTGCATATGCTGGACTGGTTGGATGCGATTGGGTGCCGGGGTACTGGCATTCTGATGAGAAGCACAATGAAGGCTTTGCGCAAAGAGTAACCATAATAACCGGGTGAGATGGACACTAGTTCTAGAAACAAACGTTCTCAAAACGCCATTGACATGCTTGATATCGGTATAATACATATTTGTACATGCCCGGCTCTCGATAGGAGACAGTCTTGGTTTCAGACAGACCGCAGCAAAGCGTTGAAGAGATCAGTACTTCTCTATCGAGTTAAGATATATATCTTGAACACTGGGGTCTTCTCGAAGAGCACTCAAGAGGTCCTCAAGATCTTTCACCTGTTCCTCGTCCTTGACCTCGACCATGCTATCTTTGTTGGGATCCCAGAAGATCTCCAATTCCTCTACGCTGAGACCTGACAGTTTCGCAAACGTCTCGCCCACGGTTTTCGTCTCCGACGGATCAGTCAAGATGACGAGGCGACCCTTATCATCCGTGGTGATATCGGCCGCTCCTGCTTCGATCGCCTGGTCCAAGTAGTCGTCTACATTCGCATCATCTTTCTTCTCCATAACAACTCTCCCCTTTCTCTCAAAGAGGAATGTAGTTGGGGTGACGATTCCTCCATTGTCTTTAATCATGTAGCGAACGTCCTGTAGCACACGCGCCTTCTGATCCGTTTGACACTCCACAACCGCAGCTACCGAACCAGGCAGCATGGCTTCAATTGTCACAGATTCTAGTGCTTGACCCGACATACTGAGTCCTTGTCCCCGAGCAATTGCTGCCTCGATAATGGTTTTCGGAACGGAGGCTCGTTTCGCATTCGACAGCGCCAGGGCTAGACGAGGATTGTACTTCGTGTCGGGTCCCCACACTAGAATAGAGTATCAGGATCCGAGATACGCACGATTGAATGACCCTACTTACTCTGTGTAGCATTTGCGATTTCCTTTCCCATTATTTGGCGCTCCCTGCTCTTGGCCTTGTCGTTTTTGGCCTTGTCATGCTTAATTGTGGACCATTTGTTGTGACCGGAGAGGATGGCCAATGATGTGCTGAAATAGCGACACTCATGACAGGCAGAATCAACCAACCGGGGCTGCTGCGGTAGTCTGCAAAGCCTGAGAGCCATCATGCTTTTCATACTCTGCAAATTGCATATTGCATATTGGAGACGAAGATCTGATCTCTATGAAGATTCCCTCGGGCGGCTGTTTATCCGATCTCCGCGGAAAGTGAGGCCACACGATAAGGAGCGAACATGGGGTTGACGCAACTACTGTGAACTAGATATTTCCACCTTTTTTTTTTCTCTCTGTCTCTTTCTTATGGAGCTACGCTTGCCCTAAATCTATCTAATGTCTGCCTCCGATACAGTCCCAGCATCGTCCCCTTCACAAAATGGGATTCCTGAGCTCGATATCCCTAAACTACACGCCCTCCCCTCCGAGCAGCAAGAACTGTACATGCTTACGTTCACCTCCAGCCTCGTACAATACATATCTGGATTGGAAGCGGCGGAAGTCATATCTCAACAAAAGGATCTGAAAAAGGAATTGTTCAAGATATTAAACCTCCCTTCACCGACTATCACTCGAGTCCTCCGCAACAATCTAGGGCGATGTTTCGGCGCAGTACTCAGCAAAGGGGATCGCGGGATCCTCTTCGAAACAATCGCTGACCTGCTGGCAATTCTGAATGCCGGTAAAAGTGAAGCCGAATTGAAGACTAAACTCGCTGCGGCGCATTGTCTAGGGGAGGTCTTTGCGACAGCCGGCGAGAGTGCGTTTATGCAGTCCAATGTTGCCACATCGAGCGCGCTTAAACTGCTGAAATCAGCAAGCAATCACACTGGTCTCAGGGGAGTTCTCTTTGCAGTGATGCGCAAGATTGTTGCTGGAATTGGGGTTCCGATTGATGAAGGAGCCGCCCGTGACATTTGGAAACAGGCCCGAAACGCTGCTATCGGCGACAAGTCCATTTTCGTCCAAGTCCATGCTTGCCGCTGCCTGGAGCAGTTGGTTGCCACAACACCATTCTTTGATAACACACATGACTTCGAACACCTCAAAACCCTTGTATGGAAGGTGATCGACAGCCCCGCTGCGCCGGTGCGGCACGCCGTAGCTGCACTTCTCGGTCGGGCACTGATTAATCTACATGCTACGGATACACACATCACGACCACCCCGAAATCGAAATCGAAGAAATCGAAACGTACGTCGAAGAAACCTGGCGTGGGACTGGGAGATGAGGACGAGGCGGAGATGTCAGAGTCGTCTGTCCCTAAGAAAACTGACTCGCGCCTGTACTTCCTTCTCCCGGACTTGTTGAGACAGCTTTCGTCCCAATATCTGAAGAGCACTACTTCGAATCGCTCACGCGCTGGGATCTGTATATGCTACAAATATGTTTTGCGCAATCTGGGAGACAAGATTGTCGAAGATTGCTATAGTCAGATCGCCAACAACTTGCTCGTCGAATTGTTGAACCATCCGACCGTAACATACAACCGCTTCCGCCTACTTATGACCAGGAGGTTTGTCAAGAGTATCCTTGAAGACACTATTGGCCAGGAATTGTTGCGCGAGAACAGCCAACTCAATGCTACAACCTGGCTCATCAACGATATCCTCAAGGACTACCCCCAAGTTATCCAGGAACGTCGTGAACCAAGCAAGTACACACTGACGAGTGCAGTCAGTGCTCTGTCCTCGTTGATTTCATCTCTGGGCTCCGCCTTCAGCGTTCAAGCCGATAGCTGCCGAGAAGCTCTGCTTCAAGTACTTACTCATCCTAGCTATACTGTTCAAGTTCACGTTGCTCATTGTCTACGAAACTTCGTTCTAGCCTCTCCACATCAGCTGCTGTCGTGTGTGACAATCTGCATGAATAGTCTGAATAGGGAGATAGGACTGCTAGGCACATCGCGCCAGTCGCCTCGCCGGTGTATTGGTTATGCCAATGGATTATCTGCCATGCTCAGCACTTCTCGTTTACAACCACTGTATGGATCAGTGGATGTGTTTGCGCGCGCTTTTACCCAGGCAACCGATCTTCTCAAGACAAGCAGCACTTCCGAGCTTCGGGTTGCGAGCATTCAGATCCAGGTGGCGTGGATTCTGATTGGAGGTCTGATGCCTCTCGGCCCCAGCTTTGTCAAGACCCATTTGTCCCAACTGATGCTTCTCTGGAAAAACGCACTGCCCAAACACCTCGGCAAGGAGAATGCTGCCCAGCCAGGTGCCGTCGAGACCAGTTTCCTGACCCACGTGCGGGAGTGTGCATTGGGCTCGCTGCTGGTGTTCATGGAGTTCAACAGCAAATTGATCACATCAGATGGTGCAAAGAGAATCGCTGCGATGTTGCAAAATACTGTCGAATTCTTGGATAACTTGCCTAAGCCGAAGGCTATGGAAGATCTTTCACAGCGGCTGCACCCAGCAATGCAATTGCAAGATTATTCAACTTTGGTGCGGCGACGTGTCTTGCAGTGTTTCACGAAGCTTGTGCATGTCCATCCAACTAGTCATGGGGACATAATCTCTCAATCTAGTCTTCTCAGTCTGGCTATCTCCTCATTTGCAGACCCAGATGCTCAGTACAAGCAGCTAGAAAGCTCTATTTCCGGTTCTGCTGGACAGTTCGATGGTCTATGGGACCTATGTGATAATTATGGATTTGGTGTCACTGGACTATCCCGAGAATATATTCGGGCTACACTGTCCGGCACTCAGGAAGATGACAAGAGTCCCGGCTGGTCTGCGATTGACTCCGTGGACCAACTTGTGGACGAAACCTTAGCTTTCCCTATTTGTCAAGCCAGCGAGCATGACGCGATTCTTTTATACAGTTTGCGAGATGGAGATATGCTTGCTGTTGATCCCCCAACGACAGGAGTTATCAACTCGGCAATCGATTTGTTCTCTGTAGCTCTCGCTCTTCATTCGCCCAAAATCCAGGAAAGCAGTGTTGAGCAGATCGCTACATTCCTCACTTCTCCTGGCCTGCAAAGAAACCCCGGCAGGAAAGCAGCGTTAGTTGTCAACATCTCGGTCGCCCTTTTGCATGCTCTGAAAGTTGCTGTGAAGGAGACAGACTTCATGCCTGGCAAGCTAAATCCGTCCACTGATAAGATTTTGCAAGAGCTCCTCCAAAAATTCGTCATAGATGCTGATCCAGTTGTTCGCACAATCGGAGTTGAAGCACTTGGACGACTTTGCGACAGTGCTGGAAACGCATGCACCAACACACAGGTCAATTGGCTTGTAGATACCATTGTCGAGAACAGAGAGCCTAACGCTAGAGCTGGCTGTGCTGCCGCCCTAGGATGTATCCACGCTCAGATTGGCGGAATGGCAGCTGGTTTGCACCTCAAAACAATTGTTGGCGTTTTAATGTCCCTGTGCAATGACCCTCACCCTGTTGTCCATTTCTGGGCTCTTGGAGGCCTGGAGAGAGTTGCCAACTCCGCTGGTTTGACATTCTCGCCTTTTGTTTCCGGCTCTTTGGGGATGCTTGCCCAACTCTACAACGCTGATACCCACAACGAGGAGGCAGCCGCGTTGGCGACCTCCAATCTTGAAATGTCATTCTCGACACCCGTCGTGCTCAGTCGATGCGTGGACTCTCTTATCAACGTTCTCGGACCGGATCTGCAAGACATTACGAAGACCAGAAACCTCATTTTGACCCTACTTCGCCAATTTCAGTTGGAGGAAAACCCAGCACTAGTGACGGAGAGTTCCAAATGTTTGGATCACTTCTCGATGTATGCCTCCAGTTTTGTTGACATTGCGGCATACGTGAAGCGACTGCAGAAAGAGCTTCGAGCAAGCAATTTCCTGATGCGAGATGTGGCAGTTCGGGGACTGAACAACCTGATGAAACGAGACGCATCGTCTGTGATGCAGACGGTGGGTCAGTCTTTGGAAGATGATATCTGGCTCGCCTTCGATGAAGCACCGAATAACAAGTCGCTCAAGTCAATGATCCAGGACTGGCTCCAGCAGACTGCTTTGACAGAAACTGAAATTTGGATTCAGCGTTGTCAGAACATCATGACCAAGACACGCCACAAACAGGAACCTGTGCCTACCACAGCTGTTCAAACTACAGCTGCTGATCTCCCTGATGACGAAGTTGCCGGTTTCGCCTCGGCAGCTGGGGAAGGGCAAGGTGACACTGCGAACGAAGGTATCTCTGGCCAAGAATTGTTGAAGTGGCAGACCCGCAACTTTGCCATGAGCTGTCTCTCCGAACTTCTGGCTACTGTCCAAGAGGCTATCCTCCCAGACTCTGCCATCCCAGCGGAGTTGGCTCTCCAGAAAAACGTGGGAGATGTTGTTAGAATGGCCTTTTCAGCATCTACCGCCAATGTCATTGAACTGCGCGTATGGGGATTGAAGATCATCGACCAGGTTCTTACCATGTTCGGCAAGACACCGGATCCTGACTTTGCCGAAGCCTCGCTCCTGGAGCAATATCAAGCTCAGATTGGGTCAGCGCTTACACCTGCCTTTGCTGCTGATTCCTCCGCGGAGCTGGCCTCGGAGGCTATCAATGTGTCTGCGACTTTTATCGCTACAGGAATTGTAACCAATGTCGACCGCATGGGGCGAATTCTAAAGCTTTTGGTGCTAGGCTTGGAGAACTTTGCGAAGAACCCGGAGACTACTGAAATCGGTGATCTCAAGGGTCTCAACTCAAATGCTCGAGTTATGGTGAAACTCGCACTGTTCTCGGCTTGGGCCCGGCTCCAGATCGCAAGTATCGACCAAGAGTACTTGACCCAGGTGGTCCAACCTTATATTGCTAGACTTACACCTCTATGGCTTTCTTCTCTTCAAGAATATGCTCGATTGCGCTTTGAGCCAGACATTTCCGGTAGCTTGGGGACAACCTCGAGCAGTGACCTGGATGAGGTGTATGCTGCGTTGAATCGTGAGACCCTGTTAGAGGTAGGCCGCGACATGCTTATTGTATCCGGCGGACGCTAATCATAATATATGCAGTTCTATCAAGACACGTGGTTATACTTGGTTGATGCAATTGCCGGGCTCGTCGAGAAAGATATCGACTTTGTTTTCGATGCTTTGGATGGCAAGTTGCAGGTGCCCGAGGAGCCTAGCGGGGCTGAGAGCGAAGAGAAACAAGAAACAGCCCCCAAGAAAGATGAAGGGAAAGGAGATGATATTAATTACCGCGAAGAGCCAGTCGCATTCTTCTTTGTCTTGTTTGGACTGGCTTTCGAATCTCTGGTTGATCAAGGAACTTCGGCGTCGCAACGATTGGACATTCTTCAGGCTCTAAAGCGAATCCTCAAGCCAGTCATCTCTGGAAATGCCATTTATCAAGATGCAATTTTCACAGAGACCATGGACAGTTTCGACCGTCTGGTGTTAACAGAAGCTACCCCTATCCAGACTGTCATTGTCGAGATTGCCCAAAACTTGTCCCTAGATCACCCCGCAGCAAAGGGCGATCTAGAACGCAGCGATCATCTTTCTGATGACATCGAGCAACTGTTCGAGCTCACAAGAAGCATAATTCTCGTTCTCGCTGGAATGCTTCCCAATCTCCGTGAATCGACCCAACTTGCACGGTTCAACGTCACTTCAGATGAGTCTTTGACTCTCATTCGTTTAGCACTTCATTCCCTCGTCGATGTTGCATCCGTGTTCCCATCCATCATTCGAAATGACCTCCATGCTTGTATCCTACATATCTTCACAACTATCCTCGCGACTGGGATCTGCCAAGCGGGCGTGGTTCCGCAAGCTCTTCCCATCTTCAGGCAGTTCGTTCACGGCATTGCCCACACATCGGAATCACTCGAAGACCTTGAGATCGTGTCATTCCAGCTTCGAGGATGTCTCACCCGCTTCCTGACCATTCTCACCATCGCTCAGCGACGAGAGTCGGATATCTCCATCCCATGCGCCAAGAACACACTCCTCGCGATCACTTTCCTCCTGACTGCCGGCGCACACGTCATTCCGCCCCAGGAGCCAGTCCTGATCCGGATTCTGGATGAGTTCCTCGACTGTCTTCAAGACGTCGGTCTTGCTACCGTGGCCGCCAGCTGTCTCCGTTCAATCCTCGTGAAGCCGGGCTCTCGTTCCGTCACAGATGAGGTTATTGGCCGATACCTGACTCCTCGGCTGATCGCCTTCATGGTTGCCTGCCCTCTGGACAACGGCGAAATCCCCAGCGACCCCGAAAACTCCCGCACAGTGGTTGCTCGCACGCTCGTGTCGTGCATCTCCAATGCCACTTTCTCCCCTTCTGAACTGCCCGCCGCTACATCCCTCATCATTTCGGCACTCTTAGCGCGCGCCAAGCGTGAAGGCGAGTCTGTGCACCAGGAATCCGCGGGCCATCTCCTCGAGCTTGCCAAGGCCGATCAGCTTACTTTCCGGACGCTAGTAGCTACCATGAACGCAGACCAGAAGTCCCTTCTAGAGGAAGTACTTCGTAGTGTCGGAGTCGGAGCTGTTGCTTCGAAGGCTGCTGATGTGGCAGACAATGCCCCCCAGGCTGTGCCGAGTATAGCATTGCGCATGGATTTCTAGAAAATTTTTACGCTATCAAATCAGATGAAACACTTTATGATATATAGTTAAACGCCAAATCTTTTTCAGCTACGGAAATTATCCATCGCACACCGTCGGCTGTTGTGCAGCCAAGTAACTGATATATTCTGCAGACATTAGTGAGATTTGTTAGATCATTCTATAGACTTTGCTTCGAAAATCAACCGAGTACCCGCAAACTGGCCAGTTCGGACCAACTGGCGGACTTGTCAACTCTCACCGGAATCAAGATCAATCCCGCAAGAACCATCCCAAATCTTTCCAACCCGGCATCATTGCTATTCTCAGCAACCCCCCAATCGAAGAAGCCGTGTGCGCCTCCCTCCACGCCGCATTGGTCATAGTACCTGCATACAACGCCGCACCAGGGCTCTGAATAAACACAATCGGAACGCAGACGCCCATAAAGGTATCGTCGACGATCTGCCGCTGCGTCTCGTTATGCCTGTATCATTTCGACGAGTGGCCGAGGCAGCATGCTGAAGTATATCTATGAGCATCCATCAAAGGTGATGTGGGTGTCGGGCTTACAAGTATCGCCCTGATGAGGTGCCTTGGGTCAGGGAATAGCCGAGAGATTCTAGGGGCTAACTTGAATATGTGAAAATAGAGATGTGGTGTGATTTGATTCTGTACATACCGACCTGGGTAGGTGGGTTTCCCATGTTCCGTTAAAACAGTATACATCGGCTTTTGATGACACAAGAAGCGTAAAGGAGCCAGGCCAGGTGGATGAATACACAACACCTGAGACAAATGAAAGAAAAGAGTACGTGGCTGATGGCTCTAAAAAAAACGAGGAGTGGAAAGTGCCAAGTGCATAACCAAAGAGGGTGTTGCATCAGGCGAGGATTTATGTTCAAGATTTCAACCGAGAGATTCGCCGAGATGCATTTCAACAGACGGACCGTCTATCTGAATGCCACCATCTTGGACCAGTCGAGTTTCAGTGGCGGCTTCTTTGGTGACGGTCGGCTTCTTCGCTTGCTTGGTTTGCTTGGGCTCAGGCACTTTGCGCGTGGAAGCATACTTCAAGAACACGATGATCATGACTGGCAATGGAGTTAGAAGCAAGAAGGAAACCATGGGAGAATTGGGCACTTACAAGCACAAATGGCAATGGTCAAAGCAGCGCGTCTGGTCAGAATCCATCGAAGACCCTCAATCTCACTCTTTCCATCGCTGTTCAGCGACACGGTGATCTTGTAGTTTAATTCTTGAACCGAGGTATCGATGCTCCGCTGCTGCTCTCGCGTAGTCATCTTGTGATCATTGAACATGCCCTTGATGTCATCTTTCATGCCTGCAAGTTCCTGGCTGATACGTTGCGAGATGATATCCGTTTCGTGCTGCAATTGCGTACGCGATGAGCGCTGGTGCTGTATTTCCGAGTTGCGAGCTGTCTGAAGCGATGACTGAAGCTCGGAACAGGCTGCTTTGAACAGGTATTCTTCATTCTCGACATCGGATTTGGAAGTGAGGCTCTCCCTGGCCAGGGAGAGGTTATTCTGCAGGATAGCCCGCACGGCCTTCATGATGGTGGTGGACTGCTCTTCGCTGTATCCTCCTTTGGACAGATCCTGTACCAGAGAGTATGTGTCGAACGGGTGCACATACGGTGCTGGGGACAAATGTGGCGGGCGGTCCTCGGACGAGAAAGGTTCCCCGGTTGGAGTAAGGTAAACCGACGGCGAGGGCATGTGGAGAACGTCATCGAACGGAGTTTGGCTTGTAAATGAAGAGGTGTCTGTACTTTCTTCCGCTGCGCCTTCGGAAGGAGGGGGGGAAGAAGCCGAAGCCTGCTCCTGTTCAACGCCGTCTATACCCTCTTCCTGCTCCTCGTGCGGTTCCCGGTCCGTCGAGGGGTTGTCTTCCTTCGTTTCAGTTTCAATTTCAGCTTGTTGATCTAAAGCTGGGATGTCCGGTTCGGCTTCCTGTGGTGGCGGTTCCGACTGTACCCCTTCCGGGGAAGCTTCCTCCTGCTCGGATGCATTTACAGCCTCAGGTTCAACCGATGGATCCCCTGGCACCTCCTGGACCTGAACATGAGAGCCATTTTTTGGACGCAATGAAGGAGTGGTATTCGGTTCGACAGCTGGACCATATCGCCGCTGGTAGGAATCGCGCTCCCGTTGCTGACTCGTATGGAAGCGTTGACTGGGCCGATATGGGATTCTAAGTGAGCGGTATGTTATCGGTTCGCATGATCGCACCGCGCGCATCAAATTCGGATACAGGAAGGGCAGCCGCGGTGTGGACATGGTGGTGACCAAGTGAGTAGAAGCTATTTTTTTTTTTCCCGCGGGGAATAATCAACGTCTACGCAGGTGTCAGGGTCGGATGCGGTTTCATGTAGTATTGGTGCCTAAAGATGCCTGATTTTATACCGCACACCGCTCTAATTAGATCGTAACTGAAGTTCCTATAATTTAAAGCTATTCCCACCACATAAATATCCGTATTCACTCGTTTCCAGGCGTTGAAGTCTCTTCCGACCGAGTGCACCGCCATAGATATAGGGATATGGGGTTTACCGCGAGGGAAGCTTCGAGCTGCAGCTAGAGCAAGCGTGCGATAGTGGTGAAGAAGAGAAGGGAATAATTATGCAGTGGGAAGGGTTCAACGCTTAGAAGTAAGTGGCTCCTAGGATTGAGATAGTTTTGAATAGCGTCATGTTTAGGGCCCCTTTTTTAAGGGGTTGATCTTATCGATCTTGAAGGCATTGAATAGTCTAGACAATTAACGTAATTCCCAAGCGAGATACACCCCACCCAGCCTATTAATTTTAAACGCATTTATTTCAACCAAAACTCCATTAAATTCAATCAGCTAAATTCTAGGTCTATCTGGACATGCATCTCTTCTATGGCCCTGATTTCCACATGCACCGCATTTCGGTAATGCCCTTGTTCTTGGTAATAAAGGTGCTTCCCTGTGCGCGCGGACCTGGGGGCGGGGAGGTTCAATCACTTCCTCTGGCT